AAGAAATTTATATTCAATCCGTGTATCAGAAAAGTTTGCGAACCGAAATTTTTATCGTGTTTGTGAATCAAAAGATTCTAGTGAAATTGATAGTACTAATCTTCTTACTTGATTTGTTATGTTCATGTTTTTTGACACCAAAGTTATACAAATTTCATTTGCGTTCTACATTAAGTCAATTTTTGGAAATATATCAGGATTAAATTATGTTCTAAACCCACAACGGATCCATTGATGTGAAAATACGTTACTTAGAAAACCACACAAAAATTACTTTAATAACTGCCGATTATTGAAAACTATTGAGCAAATCAAAATGCATACAATTAATAAAATTAGAAAACTTTTGTCATATCGAAAAAGTAGAAAGAACAACATCAATGATCTCATGGATTGATCCATCAAGTGCGTATAAATCATAAAATGGGAAGAAAAGTATGCAACACATATGTTGTCTTGGTTCTTCAGAAAGTTTTTAAAATATAAAGATGACGACGCAACACAACTTATGTCTTTATTTAATGGAAAGAATTCGTAAAGCAAGAGAGGATGATGCAGCAATATTTTTGCCATTATACGACGTGAAAATTTATCATGGAAACATTAAAAACACCATCGTCCGAAATGATGCCCCAATGCAATATCTCGGTGTCAAAATGGATCCTCGTTTTTTAAATTGAAGTGCCTTAAATTAGCTCATGTGATCTGACTTATTTGTTTTTTGTTTTTTATAAAATAAACGCAGAACACTGTACCTCTTCGAGAGGCGTAGATAATATTTTATTTTTACCAAAACCGATAACTCAATAATGAGAACCAGAGAAACAAAACCCAAAAACACAATAATCATGATGCTAAAGACCCAAATACTGCAAACGGAGTAAAAAAATAAAAGAAGCTATACAAAAACTACCTTCAAAACTACCTTCGACAGGGGGAAAAAAAAATAAAACAGTAAAATTACCTTCAAATCAACCAGCAGCATCTCACGCCATTGCAGTTGGTATCCCTTTTTAACATCGACTCTCCAACTTTATTTTCCCGCATTCAATTCATCAAAAGTCAATTTTGGGTTCGTAAGAAGTTGCTAACTGAGAATGAGGGTTCCGGAGGTGTGGAGCTGTTGCTGATCGTGATGATGGCTTTATTTATAAGCAGCCCTGAATCTTGAAGCTTGCATGTTTGGAAAGCCTAATTGACCTAGAATCACCATTGATATGAGCGATTTGGGTGTTTAACAACTGAGATCAAATAACAAAACCAAATTAAAAGGAAAGAAAGTCATGGAATTAAACTAAAGTTTAGGGAATAATCAATTAAGTTAAAGTTTAGGGAACCAATGTAATCATGATCCAATTAAACCAACACTGAAAAGGGAGAAAAAAAAAAAAAACACTCCGTCGATTAAGCTACAATTTTGGGATTAGGTAATAGTGAATTGCTAAATAAAACATCTATTTAAACTCCACCAAGTAAACAATTTAAGCTACAGTTTAGGGATTAAACTCCACTGCCTCATTTTTATTTTATTTTATTTTTGTTGCAAACTCCACTTGCTCCTTGAATTAGTTATTTAGCCAAGTAGGATTTTATATAGATTTCACATGTAGAAATTAAAAAACTAAAAAAAATAAGAATATGACATGTGGAATTGAAGCTTCACCTAAATTTTTTTTGGCGGAAGCACCCTTTCTTTGGACACTGGATTTCAAGAATGTATTACGGTTGCATGTATTCTCCTTGAGAGCCTAGCTAAATCACTCCCTGATCTTCTTGATCTGCCACGTAATCTCTTCAATCATGCATGATGCACACAAATTTGTATTTGATCAATTACCCCGAGCCTTTCAAGCATTATTAATGTACTTATCAAGTGCAAGATCTAGCTCATGTACAATTTGCTTCTCGATCCATGTGATTCACCAGTTTTTCATCCCAACCTTTTATGACCTAACTACATTTCAGTCAGGAGTGTGTTATTACTTATTATTATACTACCATGTGTTGTTAGACCATGAAATGAAATAGCTGTTTCAATATGTAAGTTAGTTTACATTAAAATTGAACTTAAATAAATCATTTGATCGTTATATTGGGTAAATTTAGATAATTTATCTACGAGAAACACAACAATAGTATTATGTTTTATTGTAAGTTGTGTTCTTGTTTTCACTGTAACTTTCATTATCAATCTTGCTGGACGACTTCCAATAAAAAGTAATATAATATAGTTTTTGTTTTAAAAAAAAAAATACGTCATTTGATCGTGCTTAACATGCGCCAACCAAATTCTTGAAAATGAGCCAATTCTGGAATGATTAGGACCTTTTACCTCTTGGAACAATTTTTGTGATTCAGAACGAAATCATAGAGTTCCCTTTTGGACGGTTTTATGTGGATACAAAGTGTAAAACAGTCCGAATTGGTTCGTCGGTAGTGGGATTTGCCATTTAGTTTGTACCACATTCATGGGGTGATCCCTAATTTTATTTGATTTCTCCTTGAAGAACCACAAAATTCAGTGAAATTCTTAGACTAACAGAATTGAGCAAAACACCAAAATTCCCATACATAAACCAACAAATCCAGAAAAACCACAAACAAATTATAAATAAGAGTTCTTCACCCCTTTTTTCATGCAAACCATACTAAAGTAACAAAAGAACCCGTCCAAAATTGAAACCCATTAATTGGACACCCCAAAATAATCATCAATTTGCTTTACTTAAGAAACTACCGATACATTTGTGTCAAGGACTACCTAATTATTGTGCTCAATGGGAATATAGTTTGTGACTTTTCATTCCATGAGAACCACCTTAATGCGAATCACCAAGAAAAGTATTTATACCTCAAGTCTATATTTTAGGATATTGCTTATTCCATACAAGTCCGCTTATCTTGTCATTCTTCAAGATTCCCTAAATATTTGAGTCTGTATCCAATGCACCCGGGTATACCGTATACCCCCACCAAACACACGCGTTACACGCGCTTAACATTTTTCACCTTTACATTAAATGCTGGTTATCCACTCATTTCATACTGGTTATTTAACAAGTTGTAAACTGGTTATCCAGAAGGTGTAAACTTATTTTCACAATTTGTAAACTGGTTATCCACAACGTGTAAACTGGTTATCCACAAGGTGTAAACTGGTTATCCATAAGGTGTATACTGATTATCCACAATTCCCAAACAACAAAACAAGGATTCAGAGAGGGCTTCCAAAAAGACATAACAAAAAAAAATATTCATAAGAAAATGGCTATCCAAACGGCATGTTCATTGGGGGGTTTCGCCCTCCATGATAAACTCAACGACTCCCGCAGCTACCGGAATCGCAGGTCACCAACCTGCCCTGGCTGCACCGCTCTGCCGAACACGCCAATTTAGCTAAGATAATCCTTTTTTCGTGTGTGTGTAAGGAGAATGTGTGTGTAAGGAGAGTGTGTTATTGCGTTAAGAGGAGATACAAATTACTTGTATAAATCCCCCCGTGATAAACTAAACAACCCGGCTGCGCCGGTGCCCGCGGCTGCGCCGCCTTTCGCGGCTGTGCCGCCCCCATGCCGAACATGGCAAATTTCATAAATAGTATTTAATTGAATGATGGGAAGTTTGCCAAATGATGGAGAACAAAAAATGAATGAGGGGCAGCTGGATAACCAGTGTAAAAAATACGAACAAGGATATCCAAGAAAAATATAAAAGAAAAAAAATAAAATTTGGCAACTGGTTATCCAGCTGTGTGTAACTGGTTATCCATAATGTGCACACTGGTTATCCACTATGTCCATACTGGTTATCCAACAGGTTAATAATGGTTATCCAGCTGTGTGTAACTGGTTATCCATAGTGCCAACACTGGTTATCTACATGGCGAACACTGATTGTCCATAGTATATAGCTGGTTATCCATAGTGTGCAAACTGGTTATCCAATATCCAATTTGAATGAATTCGTTAATTTATATATGCTGCGTTTAAAAAAAAAAAAGAAAAAGAAGAATGAATTATTTAGCGAACTCACGTTATTCTAAGAGAGTAAAGTACACGTGCAGGAAGGTACACAGTGCCCCGAGTGTACCAGATAATTTGCCATATTCATCTCTTTCATTGACCCAAATCCATGCGTTTTCTTCTCAAATCGTTCTTTTTGCCTTTTCAATCATACACAAAAGCAAAAATAATAAATAAATAAATAAATAACAAAAACATCAACGTATGATTTCGATGGCTTAAATATTCAGTTACAGAGTAGTTAATTGATATCACCCGAAAAATTGTAACATAACTTTACATTATGGTATGCATAGACAATTAAACGCGTGAAAAGAATTTTAAAGCTCAAGAAAATAATGAAATTTTTTAATGTGATTAAATTCTTATTAATTAAAAAGATAATTGGGAGAGAACAAGATTATTCTTCTAGATATTTGGAGCAGAAAATACAATTCTTTTGATTAGTAATTGAATGAACATAGACTTAAAAGAATTTATACATTGTCTTCCAATTTGCAAACAATTCATACCTTTTTCGAATTATTTGTCATCACGATGTAATTTCAAATCAATATGTAACTTATCACTGATTTATTATCATTATCCTTAATTGTCTTTTTAGAAAGTAAAACAGGGTAATTTTGTATTTGTCATTTTTCTATATATATATATATATATCTAAAAAATAAGAATTTTATTAAGAAGTTAACTTGTTTGTGGAAAAAGTGTGATTACTCTGTTTGGTTGCCTAGAATTGGAGCTATGAATTGGAATTTGAGGTACCCAATTTCAATTCCTATGTTTGGTTGAAAAAAACTAATGGTCTGGATTTTGAATTACAACCTCACTTGGGGTCCAATTCTAAGTTTTCATTTCTTTTGTGGTCAAATTCCAGGGCTCTTTGTTAAATTCGCGGGTGTTAACGGGTGAGATTATTAAACTAAACGGGTAAAGCCCGTTTAATTTTTTCGGGTTATAAACTAAACGGGTAAAGCCCCCAATATTAACGCGCGCCTCTTTTTCTTTTCTCTTTCTTAGTCTCTCTTTCAATGGCGGTGGTCATCTGAAATCTCCAGTCGCGTTCCTTTTGTTCTCTTTCGAATTTTAGAAGGTAAGCTACTCGGATTTCTGTATTTTTCATAACGGTTCATGGTTTGTGAAAATCTTTGAATATTCATTTCTTATTTGATTTGATGAGTCTGTGTTCTTTCAGATTTATTTCTTTTGGGTCTTTCAACAGAGGAAATCCTTTTTCTTTGGTGAATAACGTCGTTTCAAAGCTCTTTTTTTTTTGCTGAATGTTGATTTGATGTGGTAAAAACTGTATAAACTAATACCCTAGACCGAATAAACAAAGAGGCATACTGCCACCGTTGATTTTAATCTTAAAAAGGCTTGTTTAGAAGAATCCTTTTGTTTTTTTTTTTCATTCTTAAATTTTCACACATTAAATTGTCACACATAAGGTCATGCTGTTCGTAGCTAATCTGGCTAGGAAGGGGGTGAATTTCCCAGTGTTGTTATTTTCTTTCTTTATCAGTTCTTGGTTTAATGGCTGATGATAGTTTTCATGATAAAGATTCACGGGTTTCTTTTCTTTTTTCGGGAATTTTGGATAAAGTTGTGATTTAACTTGTTTCCTATGGTTATCTATATTTGTGTGTTCTGAATTTTGGATCCCTCAGGTTCCAAACTTGTTTGCCACTGTATTTCTCTGCATTTCCCAAGAATAAATTTCCTTGGAAATAGCTTGACTGGAGTTCTAATTTAACATGCCTACTGAGTTTTGTTGGAGAAGGAGCAGATAGTTTGTAATTTTGTGTTAGGTGTTGAGAAGTGGCTTTGTTCATAAGGGAATTTGATGGCCTGGTTTCTGCTAATTAGATGATGAAGGGTATCTAGTGTAATGTTCTTTAATTTTATGTTAATCGTGGTGGGTGTTGAGAAGGGGCTTTTTTCGGTGCTCAAAGCTCGCTGCATCAGTAAGAAGCAGAGAGCAAAGAGTATTCTAGCGCCTTTGTTGATAAGCTACAAAAAGGTACTCACACTGTCACACGTATAACATTGGAAATGTAACTTGTAAGATATTTTCACATTGAAGAACTATGCCAGATTTTCGGTGGAGGAGATATAAAGGATTGGACAGGATTTGCATGCTACATGTGAAACTGGAAAAACTATGGATATTTGCTCATATTCCTGAATTACACAGTTGCATGAATATATTGCAGAAAGTACCAATAGATTTAACAATGCTGAACTGCATTTTAGATTTGTCCTAGCAATTTTAAATTTATTAAAGCAAAAATTCGAATGGTCGTCTCTAACCAGTGCATAATGCCTAAGCTATGTTTCTTTTGGTTTGCTGAATGAGGTACTACAACCATAAATTTTATTCAGAAACATGTTCATAGTATTTACTTAATCAGAATTGAATCTTTAAGTGCGCTTCTCCTTGAAAATGGATGCTATTTATGCTGGGATAAGATAGTCTTGATCCTAGTTTGCTGTAAATTTGTGTAACAGAAGAAACTTGCTGCTGCAGTAAATTCTTGCTACCTGGTCACATGGGTAGTGTTATCCTTGTCAGCCTTAAACCTTCTGTCAGTCATCAAATGTCCTTTCTTTTCTGCTTTTCCATTAATTTTGTTTAGTTTATAACTCTTATTCCACCATGTAGTTTCTCTTTTATTTTTTTGGCATCCTGAATCCCTGTGTCACATTTTCCGTTCTAATGTTATCTCTTCACTTTAATTCAAACATGGGAAAAACACAATGAAATAAGCTAGCTGGTCTGCTTGTGCTCTTGTCATTATTAGTTGAGAGTTGAGACCTTAGTTCAATTTTAAATCAATTTTGATGTCATGAAATCAGAGAAGAAAGTCTTGTATTAATGAAGTCGACTTTGCTTTGCTTCAGACCATAAAATAGTGCCTCTATAGTTTATCAGCAGATATCATGAGTAAGTTTGATCAGTAACTTGTTTGCGTTATGGGCAATACTAAATGGGCTTGTCTTGCCGAGTCATAAGTTCAAGTTTTAATTGTTTAAATTTGCTGCATAGTTTGATCTAGACTACAGTGAACTCTCGGTAGAAATAGTTGTGGGTTTGTGTTACGTTTGTGATTGTGTGTTGACTTTCCTTGTCTCTTCTGTGAAGAATTTTTGCTTTATTGCAGCAATTCTGTTATGAACAATGGTTAATTGTTGTTGTTGGCTCAGACTCCGGTTGTTGCATCAATATCAGTATGTCCATCTCGCTTGTGGATTTTACTTTTTGCATATGTGGTGTATTGCTTCTTTGTTAGAGAAACTTTTGATGTATTTTGCATCATTTACATGGCTAATCTTTAGAAAAGTCAGTAGTTGTGCTTATCGATTAGGTAATTAGATTACATGGATTATCACCTGTCCCAAAATGATGATGAGGATAATGCAAGAAAATCAAGTAGTGACTGCAGCTGTTGTAGTCATGATGTGGCATGAAAATCATATCGTGAAAGAGCCAAGCTTGGACTTCTCTATAGCACGGAAAATATACCTTAGGCGACTCTATTATGGGAGTGATAGAGTTTGTAAGGATCAAATTTCTCTAACTAAGCACTGTTTCAAAGAATTAGGAGGATTGAAAGATTCAGCACATGTCACTGTGGAAGAAGCAGTAGCTATGTTTCTCTATACTCTTTCTTACAAATTGAAGAATTGGAAAGTGAGTTTCGATTTTATAAGATCAGGGGACATTGTCAGTCATCACTTTAATATGAGTTTAAAACTTCCAACTTAAGTAGGCTTTTTGTTGGCTTCTTTTTGGTGTTATTCATTCGGCTGATGCTTTGTACTTTTGTGATACAATCCTAGTAAATTCTCTCTGGTTGGTGGCCTCAATCTCACATCTTTGTTCTTAATCAGCAGAAGAATTAGGAACATGAACCAAATTGTTTTGGTTTTCTGCATATTTCTTTACAATTGGCTCACTTATTATTATTATTATTAATTTTTTTTTCTAATGTCATTCTTGAAGTGCATTCTGTGATATGTAGTCTTTATCTTTTGAACATTCTTTGGAATGAGAAGTTACTACCAGATCTAATTGGCCACCGGCTCTCTGAACAAAATGCTGGTGAACAAGAGAATTGGTTTTCTGCCTAGAGTTTCCTCTGTGATCTTTGTTGTATTTCTATCGAGTATACTATAAGTGAATATTTGCTTAGAAATGATGCTGAGGTAGTGTAGCTGTTGTGTTTCCATTCGAATATATCACTCAAGCTGCAGAAGAACTTCTTAAAGTAACATTTTTACAATTTTTTCCATCTACAGATGGTTTGCCATTTCTTTTTTGCGGACTTCCTTTTTGTCTTATGTTTATACCATACAAATATCTTTAAACGTTGCATGCTTGTTTTTTCAAGGGATAATGGAAGTGAATAATTTCTTTGGACAGAGTAGTTAGCTTCAATTAAAAGGGCAGTATGGCAGCTGCTTTCAGATCATTGGCTCGTGCTATGAGGAGAACAAAGTTCTCACCCATGTATGTATCCAGAATGATGTTGCACTCCCATGCTACAAGTTTTGGTATGTACATCTCTTTTATCAAATATGTACTGTTAATATTCCAAGAACTTTTTCTTTGACTTTTTGTCATGCTTTCCCTTGCATCAATCATAAGTCACTATATTTGGATTCTTGTATGTATTTTGTTTTTGGGAGCTTTATTTTCATCAGCATTTTATACATTTCCTGGTGGTCTGGTCTGATTTTAACGGTTATGAGTCTTTCATATGCTTTGGCTTAGTTCAAAACTGTTTAAACGACTCTGCTTATACCAGGGTTCATTGATTTTTAGACTGTATGGTTTCTTCTTTATTATCCAAGCTACGATTACTTTGACCACTTAAGCTGATGTGTCTTATATTATTATATTTCTTTGTGATGTCGCCATTTCAGGTTACCAGGAAGTAAGGGAGGAAGAAAAGAGCCAGTTGGTGGGAAACGTCTTCACTAGTGTCGCTTCAAACTATGACCTAATGAATGATTTGATGAGTGCTGGGTTACATCGATTATGGAAGGACAGGTTAGTTTAGTGATTCAAATTTTCAAGTAGTTTCGTTCCATAGCACTTTAATTTTCCTATCCTTGTGTATTCCTTCGGTAATATAACTTTTCCTTTTGTCCTCCTCAGATTGGTTTCAAAATTGAATCCATTTCCTGGTATGAAGCATCTTGATGTGGCTGGTGGTACAGGTGAGTTCTTGTTGTGCCTCTCATTGATCAATGTTGTACTGATTTAGTATCGTTTTGGGATGAATGAAAAAAGATGAGTGATGTTTCATATCAGTTGAACGCAAGGTGACTTGCTTGTGGGTTCTTGAGTTTGAAATTTACTCAGTACCATCATTTAGTTTCAGTTTCCCTGGTTTGTTGAACTGCTCTGCTTCTAAAGACTTGTAAAGGTTATACTTGATGTACTCAGCTGTTTTTGCCAAACCCCTCAATTTACTTTACTGAACTCACTTTCTCTTCTAACCAACCCCCAACACCACCACCACCACCACAACCCCCCAACCGCGCGGAACAAAAAAAACCAAAAAAGAAATATGAAATAGTCTTTCCAAGATGCACCTTATTTATACCTTTTCCATTGCACTTATTGCACTGGTGGGTGGGCAGTGAGAATCGGCTTGATAGTGTGGCCTTGCCAGGAATCTTAATCCAAAGATGAAATAGTGAAGGCATCAATCACATAACTTTGTTTCACTGTGGTAGTGAAGATCTAATGACGTTTTTGTTTATAGGGGATGTTGCTTTTAGGATAATAGACACTATCAACAATGAGAAACGCCAAGCCTTGCAAGATTCCTTTGAAGATAACTTATTGGAGGACACTCAGATTTATGTTTGTGACATTAACCCCAATATGTTGAATGTTGGTAAGAAGCGGGCTGAAGAGAGAGGTAAAAAGGTTCCTTAAACAAGCATAGTCTGAGTCTTTTTATGTGGAAACTATGCCTATTGAGAAAGTAGCGTCAAATGTTATATAATCAATTTTTCCTCTGATATTTAGGTCTCTCCGAGGTTAGATCTCTTGTTTGGGTGGAGGGAGATGCTGAAGCCTTGAATTTTGAAGACAATTCAATGGATGGTTATACAATTGCCTTTGGTATCAGAAATGTTACGCACATTGAAAAAGCTCTTGCAGAAGCTCATAGGTATGTTCTCACATTTTCAATTTGATTCATGTCAGCATATATGGAGGCAAAAGTGCTTGTTCTTATAGTGAGTCCTATAGTAGCTTCACTAATTGATGCCTGGGTCTGTGCTTCAGTAGCTCCTTATGGCGGCGATTCTGATAAATTTCTCAGCATCATTTCAGGTTTAGAAAAGGAAAAAGTTTATTTTAGTTGTTGTTAGTATAGTCCATATTGCGACTGTGGCTAACTTCTGTAGTGTTAGAAGCCAGGATGATGCCTACCTAATAATATGTTGTAATGACAAATGGCTGAAAAAAGTTTAGTAAAGAAAGAATCATAATTATCATTTCTGCTTTAATGTTCCATTAGAATTCACCCATCTCTTTTGAGTTGAGTTGTTTCCTTTTTCCTTTATGCTACATCAATTGCTTTATATTCACTAGGGTGCTTAAACGAGGTGGAAGGTTCCTTTGCCTTGAACTGAGCCATGTGGATGTTCCAATCTTTAAAGAATTGTGAGTAGTTTCCTCTCTCTGTGGCGCAATCTTCTAAGATAGCACATGCTTTTAGTTGTCCTGTAGTAGTGGATCTTTCTTTGATACATTTCTAAATGTGATCCAGATCCAGCTAATACTAATTATTTTTCACTTTTGGGATGGGGGGTGTGGTGACGAGAATCACTATTATGATCAAGGTTACTCTGTTTTACAATGACCTATACTTCTTTCCTTTTCATATCAAAGAAAAGTTTCTTTGGTGGACGGGGTGAATAGTAAGGCCAACTATTTTGAAATTCCTGTTGTATTTTGTAGCTAGTTTTGATAAAACTCTTTTTACATTTAACTGAGCTCGAATTACAGCTCTTTGCATCTAATTCTCTAGTTTTATATACATTCTGCAACTCCCAAGTCTGTAAGTATTTAGTCATCTATGAGCATTGACCCACTAAGGTTTAAAATAATAATAATTTGTTTCCCCCATTGAGGACTCTCCAAGATACTTAATTGCACTAAGGTTTAAAATGATAATAATAGTACAGAAGTTTCTCATCCTTCCTAAGGGCCGTATCTTTATTTGCAAGGTCTAAGTTTTGAATATGCTCATTATTAGTATTCTTAAGCACTATCTTTGGCTTATTCAGTCTGTCTCAGTATTTCTAATACTCTAATTGATATTCCTTGCGCAGTCTTTTCTAAAATTGTTTTATGCTTTGTTCTAAGGCCTGGAACTCTTAGTTTTTTGACATTTTCCACCTCAACTGGATTGGAAATCTTCTTTCTCCCATGTTTGGATCTTCTAGCCATTTCGGTTTTTAAATGGGCTCTTGAGATCTTCTGTTTATATTCTTCCGCAGGTACGATATGTACTCATTTTCAGTCATTCCGGCCGTAGGAGACATAGTTGCAGGTGATAGGGAGTCTTATCAGTACTTGGTGGAAAGTATTCGTCATTTCCCACAACAGGTGAAGCGAGATGGTCTTTGTTGCTTCCTTATCTTTTGCAGTTTAGGTTGATTCTAGGCAAATTTATTGTTGGTGCCTAAGTGGGTGGAACATGGCTGTTGCCTTTACAAATTTGTGTGTTAATATACTCCCTGGTCGTTAGTTCACTTATTTCTGTTTACAGAAGCATGAGTTTTTTATCTGGGGCAGGCTTACCCCATTCATATAATTTATTCTGCAAGAGTTTCTGATCTTTGGAAGAAGAAAATTCCTAAAGTTTAGGCATCATTTGTACTTGAGTTATTCCTTATTAACACGTTCTAGTACCTTCGATCGCTTGTTGCTCCTTGTTACCTCTACTGGTTTCTTTGATCGGAGGTCTAAATTGATTTGTTGGGTTGATTTTTCCGAGAGAGGAATTTAGGAGAAAATCTGCGGTGGTCAATTGCCTGGAAAAATGGAGAATCTACCATTTCACTTTCAGGGGCTTGTTCAGAATCTTAACTGTGGCATTAGTTTGTGATAAAGCCATTACGAATCCTGCATTCACCTGTTTTCAATGAATAGAATTTCAAGTATTCTTTTCCCGTTTTGTTTTGTTCAGAATCTTGGGCACTCATCTAGCAGAAAGCATGGTTATGTCATTCTGCATTTTTGCTCTTTGATGTGGTCCATGCGTGTACTGTTTTCGTGTTTCAAACATCTGTTCCATGGTATTTGAAATGTCTATCATACCAGTTACCTTTTTAATCTGTGCTGGAGATTCAGTTATTCTAGCTGCCTCAACTCTATTGCGTAACCTTCCTAGTCTCAATGATGCAGGAAAAATTTGCTTCAATGATTGATGATGCTGGATTTCAGAAGGTTCAATATGAGAATCTGGTGGGAGGGGTTGTAGCCATTCACTCTGGGCTCAAGTTCTAGTTCTCCGTTAGATTGATGCACTTGTTAAAATTTTGTAGATCAATATCATCCACCACAGCAATGTAGCAAAGAATATTATATTTGATTCTCGATATGAAATGTGTCGGTTTCCTTTTTGAGAAAAAATGTTAGCTGTATAGTTTAGACCACTGAAAACCATTTCACCATTAGAGCACTTGTTTGAATCTGTGTTGAAGAACTCTTGGCGGCAAATTTAACAGGCACTTTCTACACTGGAAGCAAATTCATATCTTGGAGGTCCATTTGTGTTTTTCTTTTGAGATATTGAGAATAGTGTAACATAGTTTTGCCTAAAGTTCTGACATTTGATTTTTGGAGCGTAATGCATGTGTACACTATACCTGATTCTGAATTCGGCCTTATGGTTAGTAGTAAGTACTGAACAAACAATATGTTGGAGAAAATGAACTTTAGACTTGTAACGAGTACATTATTACTAATGTCCAGATGAATCAAACAATTTCGGTCACAATATTTTTCTTTTTGGGGGAAACTATAAATATGCATTTACATGTCCATATTGATAACCATTAGCAACAATACATTAAAACACTATCAACTTTTGCCGCTAAACAGTACTCCTTCCATTTTGAAATATATATCGTTTTAGAATTTAGTGAATTTTTTTAAAATATATGTCATTTTCACAAATCGAGACACATTTGACCACTTTTTTATCAATGTTACCTTGCATTAGGAATGAAACAATATTTATAATGAATTTCTATTGGTTTGTGATGAATTGTATAGAAAATAAATAAAAGTATTTTTGTATTTTAACTACATTATTTAATATTTTCTTGGTTTTGATGAATTTTCTAGAAAGACATAAAAAAAAATGGAGGGAGTAGTTCAAAGAAAAAAGAGCTCAAAGTTTCGATGTCCATGTTTGCAAATTGCAACCAATAGAAGTATAGAACAATCAACAATCACCAAAAAAATACCACTCTTTACCCAATATAAACAGTAGCTCTAGTGAAACAAAAATCTCATTTTATTCGTTTTCTACTCAAACAAGCTTGTATTGGGAAATTTTACAACAAACAAGCTTGTATTTGGAAAATTTTACAACAACGTAGACTTAAAATGGTTGTACCACATAAATGCGAATAAGGACTAGAGCATCTACTTCAAAAAATAATAATAATAAAATCAATAAAATTATAACATATCTTTATATGTATTAAAGGAGAGTTTTCAATTAAACACATAGCATAAAATTAAATAGGATAATCTACATGGCGAAAAAATAGATAACCACGCGAGTCAAATTAAGATTGTTTTGGGTGAGGAAATTTTTTCTGTGACCTACTTAAGTTTGTTGTTATTAGTTCACATGCTCATCTTATTTTCCTTCTGATGATTTTTCACCAATATTTTTTTTATATAAATTACATTTTAAAAATTTACCAGCAGGGGAATTTAAATTCTGCAAGTTGGAAATTTTTTTGTGTTTGTAAATTTATTGGGTTTATAAGTGAAAAGTTGATGTTAACTACTCCCATGACAAAACAATTTTGCCTTCATTGAATATTTTCCAGTGACATGGTGTATGAAATTATTAGATTAGTGAAAAAATTAAAAACTACAATTTCATTGAAGGAACTAAAATCAGATAATAAATTCAACAGTTTCGATATGTAAGTAGTATACTTCAAGTGATAAAATGAAATATGGCAAATTACTCTAGAATTTGGACAAAACTAGTTATCTCGAACCTAATTAAACGGACACCCGGATTTCCCAAATTCGAACTAATAAAATATAATAAAAATTATATGTTTTTGTTATTTTGAAAAATAAGGAAAATAGGGTCAACTGGTGAACAGTGATTTCGGATTTGAGAACTCCGAAAATTTTTAAAATTTAATATTCCAAAAATGCTAAAGAAATGGCGGGCAAATTTAAAATTTAGAACAATGGTTTTGGATTTGTCAAATCTGACTTCTAGGGTTTAGGGTTTAGAGTTAGGATTCAGATTAACTAAATCCGAGAGCTGCTTTTCAATTGAAGGGTAATCCGTCCTTGTGGATAAACTTATTGGATGTATTAAATCGGATCGGATAAGGTGACAGACATTCAGATTTGCTAAATCCGAGAGCCCCACATGAATAGTGAGTCTCGGATTTGCCAAATCCGAAACAACGTGATATAAAAAGAAAAAGTTGCAGCTTCCCTTCAGATCAGATTTTTCAATTTTTGAGGGCTAGGGAAGGTTGTGGCTGGAGTTCTTCAGGATTTTAGACGCACTTACCGCTAAATGCAACAAGAATCGTTACTTTAACAAGATTAGTCATTAAATCAATATTTTTTTAGTTGTTTTGTTGTGTATTTATATTGTATTGAAGATAGAAGATTGGTAGAGCTTAGGATTGATGCTTGTGAATGTAATATGGATGTTGTTGTTGAGTTTATATGTTAGGATTATTGTTGTTTTAAGAAGTGATAGAGGTTAATTTAATTAATTTGGATGGATTTTGTTTTTATGGATAATTGATAGGATTTAGGGATAATTTGTATGGATAATTTAATGAGAAAGGAGTTGTGTTTTTTTTTAGGTGAGAATTGTTGTTATTTTTTTTAAGGTGAGATTACGATTAATATAGTTAATGATTTTTTTGTCCTTTAATAAACAGTTAAAATATCCACGCACGGGCTATACATACTTAATTTGTTTCATAGAAGCAAGTATGTGATAGAGAATGGTGTAGTGAATACATTTGAGAATAAGCCGGACGACACTCTTGTTATTGATAGTAGGTTCCCATATCATGAGTTGGTTGGTTTGATTTGTGAGACGTGCGGTTAGAATCTTGAAATAGTTAGGAAACTCCACATTTTGTTACTATTTGTGACTCACTGTGTAATACGCGCCATGAAGATAAAGAATGATTTACATGTTGGGATCATATATCACCTCGAGCCAATGACAAGTGTGGATTTTACATTGAGACCGAGTATATGACAAACCAAGAAGATGGGAACAATCATTATGGTGGATGTTTATTTGCACAAGATGATCACATGGATGAGGGTGAACAAGATGGTCCAAAGCAAGAACAAGCAAGTACTTCACGGGTTCATGAAAAAGATGGTGGAAGTTTATTTGCAGAAGATGATCACATGAATGATAATGATTCCGACTACGTAGCTCCAGCGAAAGCTCGGAAGCACGAGATCCTAATGATGATGATGAAAGTGATGATGAAGAATTGGTGAATGAAGAAATAGAACTAAATCCATTTCCCCGCCGCTATGTGTATAAGGAAATGGGTGAATGGAATGCGTCCCGTGTTTACAAGGATGATCTTGATATAAAAATGTGGGACGAGACTCCTGAAGGGATGGACATTAAAGTTTGTTTCAAGTCTCAAGGAGAAGCGAAACATGGCGTGAAATTGTTGAACATCCACCATAAAAAGGAGTTAAAGGTTATCGCGAGTAATCCTAAAACGTGGGCGGTTTGATGTAGGACATTAGATTCCCCTTCCCCCAAGATGGCGAACCTATATGCAAATAGAGGATCCGCGTGTCACTAGGAAAGCACGGCTTGCATCAAATAGTGAAATGGCGGTTCGCACACAATTGCATGAGGGTGGTTAACGATAATGACAACCGTTGTGCTGACTCGACATTTATTGCTAGACTAATCATGTGAAAGGTTGCAAACAACGTGGATTACACGGTAAAATCGGTGCAAAAAGACGTGAAGGAGTTGGTAAAAGTTGATGTCCCTACAAAAGGGCATGGAACGGGAGGAGGAAAGCCATAGAGGCGGTTTATGGGGATTGGTCCTCTAATTTTGAAGATCTTCCTAGGTAAATTTCAATTTTGATAAATGTCAATGAATTTGTTTTAGTTTTTACTTGTATTGGTATATATTTAACTCGAACAAACTTGATGTGTAGGTATATTGAAGCACTTAAGAGTACTAATCCCGAAAATGTAGTGGAATAGGAATGGGAGGGAGACGAAGGTTGGAATATGGGAAGAAAGACTTTTAAATACGTGTTTTGGTCATTTGCACCAGTGGCTGAATGTCCGTCGGTAATTTCTGTTGATGGAACACACCTACGTGGGGGGTACAAGAGTAAGTTGCTAGTTGCGGTGGTGTATACTACAAACAAACACATTTTACCGGTTGCATTCGCCGTGGTGGATGAAGAGACCACTGAAAGTTGGACATTTTTCGTGAAATATTTGAGGTATCACGTTGTGGGTGACACCAAAGTTAGTGTGATTTCTGACCGGAACGCTGAGCTTTTAAGGGCAATGTCAGAAATACCAGAATGGAGCAATTTGGATGATAGGACCCACATGTATTGCCTCCGGCACATTCGGAGCAATCTAGTGTCGAAGTATATGAGTGCGAGAATCAAGCGGTTATGCCAAAATATGGGGAAGACGCTTAATTTTGAAAAATTCAAGCGATTGAGGCAAGAGCTCTGCGAATTAAAACCTGAACCGGACGTCGTCATTGGGGAGTCACAACTACCAACGTTTCCGAGAGTTACAACAATGCCCTAAAAGGGATCCGGTTTTTGCCCATTAAAGCTATGATCGATGCTACATTCCATAAAACCGTAAAATTTTACCGAGAAGAATTGTTATTGGCGACGATTTGTGATACGCCTATCCCCACTGAGCTATGGAAAGTCTACGAAAAGAAGAACAACAAAGCCGTCACCTATGATGATGAATCGTTCGATGGCAACAATGATAGTTGGGAGGTGATAACGCCGACATGGCCTAGTGGGAGAGGTGGGACGGTGTATACGGTCACCTATAATGCCAAAAGAAGTTCGTGCAAGAAATGGCAAGAGTACCGGATACCGTGTATGCACGAACTTTCCGTCGCACATAAAAAATGTGATCGGCATGTTTCCCTATACCATAAGAGTTGGAGGCGCCAAACATGGATCAAACAATTTGAATACATTGATTTTTCACCGGTGCCTGATGAGCGACAATGGCCTATGGTTAATTGGAAACTCTATTCTAATTACGAGAAGCTCGTGCAAAATGGCGGTCTGGGCCGACACCAAAGAAGGAGACGAAGATGCAAATAGATTACCGTGCTCGGCGAACAAGTGATGCAAATGGATTACTGTGCTCGAGATGCGGAGGAGATGACGATGCTAATTCGTGTCCTCACTCTCATCCCCAAGTAGATAGAACACGTTTGGTGGACGAATGAGAGCATGAAAGTGATTAGTTTGTTGTTGTATTTTGTAGAACACCTTATTATGCAGTGTTATCTCTTGGATTGATCGTTTAATTCGTATCTTGTTTGATGTTTATATTGAACTATTATCATAGAGTATAGTGTGGTAGAAGTTGTTGGATATTTACAGGTTTTGGGAATTGGTAAAACAAAATTGACCTTATTAACAATTATGTAACCCTTGGATTTTCCGAAACTTACCATTTAGTACACGGCCCAGATTCATCAAATCCGAGTCTGCCCTGTTTCTCTATTTGTTTGAGGGTAAGATGACTGGATTTGCCAAATCCGAAACTCACTTTTAGAATATCTTTCGGATTTGGCAAATCCAAATCCGAGTGTGCCCGGTTCTCTGATATCGGATTTTGCAAACAGTGACGTTGCAAGATGTGGAAAACCTATTTGGTCTCCGGGTCGATGGGGATATGGTTTGTGGTGTGGCGTCAAACCGTGGTGTGGCGCAATGGCAATCAATTTACCAAGAAATGTTAGAATTCACCCCTGCCTAGGGTCGAATAAGTGGAAATACTCTTAAGATTTCGGTTGTAGAGGAAGCGGCGAAATGTGCAATCCCTGAAGGTAATATTTAAATTTATTTATATTTTTAAATATAATTTGTATTAATTACATTTTTTGCCAAACAAATATTAAGATTTGTAGTGTTGTTTTTGTAGGTTCTCTGGAGGTCGTGTATCAACAAAGGGCCCGATTAATACTCTTGTGGTTTATCGGTTCTTTTATGTTTCTGGACAGAAGCCAAAACAGTGCTGGTTTATATTTATTGAATCATTTGGGGGATTTTAATCATCGTGCAAAACTTAGTTGGGGATCGGCTCTACTTCCTTACTTGTATTCTAGCCTGTGCAAGGCTAATAATCATGAGAAACGTGATGTAACCGTCTGTGTGTATCTTCTACATGTATTTATATATTCAATACGTGGAAATTCAATCAGAAAAACATCTATTATATTGTGAAATATTATTATTTATTGTTGTTGTTATTATTTAGGTTTGGGCATAAGAGCGGATCCCGAGAATCTGCCCCAAAGAATATTAAAGAGATTTGAAGAGGATCCTACAGCTCCTTTAACTTATCGGTGAGTTTATTTATACTCTTAAGGTAAAAATTACTAATATTTTTATTATTTTTATTGGATAAATAATACCTTTGATTTTTTTTGTATTGAAAAGTGGAATTGCTCATACTCCTACAAGAACGTCACAAAGTCTAGTCTACCGGGTTCTAGAGACCAATTGACCGCCTTAAAAGCAAGTGATGTAAGCATGAAAAGGTTCTCTATTTATTATTTTTTTTCCCACCATTCTTATGTGAATTAATCTGGTTTTTCTCAACTTTTTCACAGTTTGTTTGGCAACCCTACAACGATCTCCTCCCTACCCTCCCTGATTGTTGTAAACATGGAAGTGCCATTTGGATGGCAAGGACGTGGATGTTTTCTACTGGGCTATCCGAGAACCCCACGAAATTGACAGGGTCGTGAGACAATTTGGCTACATTCAAGGAATTCTCCAATGGCCTATGATTGCCAATATCCAAGAGAATATAACTGCTTACGAACACAACATGTCTGGGCTTACTGAGAAAAATTGGGTGGAACACCATAGTAAAGTACGCCCCCATTGGAATAGGAGAGCCCGAAACATTCCTACGGATTTGGAGGAAGGGGAGCCCGGTCAAACTAATGAGAAGTACGAAGCGTGGTATAACAAAGGTTTAGTGAAATTGATAAGCGATCCGAGCCACTTCTCATCAGCCGGATATGAGGCTTCCTCGCACCGGATGAAACTCTATGTAAGTTTTTATTTTCAATTAATCTACGTATGGAGTGCATTTTACTCTATTCATCTAAATTTTTAATTATACTCTTTGTTAGTTCTTCGAAGGATCTTACTCTCCACATGAAGAAGAGGTACCTCTCACCACTACTCTCGGAAGAGATTTGCAAGTCCTAAACGTGGAGCCAATTCTTACAATCCGTCTAGAGCTGCAGAAACAAGGGGTTCGCAAATTTACAATCCGACAGGCCGCGCAACCCACTGGTTAAATTTACCCCGCCCACTATTCCTAGGAGAGGGAAAAAATGATTGTTGATTAGTCTTTTTTAGGGATTTTGAATGATTTTAGATTGTTAGTTGAAAATTTTACATTATTTTGTTATTAAAATGTGATCGTTTTGTTGTTGAATTAGTTTGTTATGAATTGGTTGTTGGTGCTGTTTAAACAGGGTTAGGACTGGTGAAAACCAGTCCATTATTTTTTTTTCAAGTTTCTGGTATGTCTCGGATCTGGTAAATCTGAAAGATACCATTTGGGGTTCTTTCAGATTTGATAAATCTTTCGAATTTGGCAAATCCGAGACCCCTCATATCTATTTTTTACACTTGGAATTTTTTTTGAAATTTAAAATAATATTTTATTCAACAACTCGGATTTCTCAAATCCGAAACACTTTGTCTCGGATTTTGCTGATCCGTTTCTAGTCAAATTTCATTTTCGAACACTTAGATTTTTTTTTTCAAAATATAAATTTTTTTTTATTGAAACTTTTCGGATTTGCCAAATCCGGAACTTGGTTAATTTTAATTAATCATTTATTTAAATTCAATTAATTTCAGTTTGAACGGCTTTCAGATTAGACAAATCCGAGTTGCGTTGCTCTCGGATTTGCTAAATCCGACTCTTTGTGCTTCTCAGATTTGGCAAATCCGGGACATCTACTTCTGTCCACCTTATTTCTCTTCAAATTATTTTTGTTTAGGTACTTACTTTGATAATTTTTTTGGTAAAAAACTCCCAAAGAAGGGGGTGTCCCAAATGAAAAGTGAATGAATTTTCAATTAAGTTATTTTAGTTACAACAAGTAATGAGCGATGAAATCATTCTTCAGATGTAATTCTCAATTTTTCCAATTAAGATATTTTTTTACAAACTGAAAATATATATATACATGCTATACCCTTTCGTACATGCCATAAAAAAGTTTAACTACACATAATGTAAATTTACGCCTAAGTGGATATTTGTGATGATATATGGTGTGCCTTTGTGGTAAATTCAATAAACAATAAAACATAATATCAAATGCGACAAAACAAACAATGAACCGTAATTAATTTCTAAACAAACCACGAGAATTAGCAAAACAAGAAATAACAACAAATTTGTCCAAAGAATTAGCAATCATTATTCATTTATGATGATGATTAGATACTGAACAATGGTTTATACTCTCAAAATTCTTTTAATAATTATTCTAAATGGTATTTTCTTTTTTTTTTACATGTTATTGATTTGTGAAGAACAAATTTCATATATATATTTAATAATTCCCTTCTTGTGTATAAAGCCATAACATTTTGGTTTATTTAAAATTTTACGCTTATTATTTCGTTAATTATCATTTAATTTTTAATATATTTTTATAAATATTCATTAAAATATTATTATCGATGTGTCGGTAACATCTAGTACTAAAAATATGCATAATCATTCCACAAATATTCATAATTTCATATCTGCAGCGAGGCGGCCAACCAAGAAACTCCGAGAACCATCTCAAACTTGCTTTAAACTTGTAGAATGTAACTCTAATAAATAAAAAGCACTGATTTAGGTATACTAAATTTACGTCCTGCGGAGCCAATATAAATAATAAGACATCCTAAACACATTTGTTTCAGTACTGATCAAGTTCTTGCTAGAGAAAATCAATCAATCCCGCATTTTGTTTCTTTTGTGATCATTCATAAGCTCGAGTGATCAACCATCTGTAAGAAAGAAATCCAAAAAACATGGCTGGTGGTGACAAAGTGGTTCTGTTGGATGTCAAAGTGAGCATGTTTGGGATGAGGGTAAGGGTAGCACTAGCAGAAAAGGGGATTGAGTATGAATACAGAGAAGAAAATTTGGCCAATAAAAGCCAGCTTCTTCTCGAGACAAATCCTGTTCACAAGAAAATCCCTGTTTTGATTCACAACGGGAAGTCCGTTTGTGAATCCCTTATAATTGTTCAGTACATCGATGAAGTTTGGAAAGAAAATAACCCATTGATGCCTTGTGAGCCTTACCAGAGAGCTCAAGCCAGGTTTTGGGCTGATTTCATTGACAAAAAGGTAACAAAACAACAAAAACTTCCCCTGTTTCAGTGTTTCTTCAGTCTTTTTTCATAATTTGATACCATAAAATGTTGCAAAGTTCAAATTTGTGACCTGGGTTTTGTAGGTTTATGATCCTGGGAGGAGGATTTGGGCTACAAAGGGAGAGGAACAGGAGAAAGCCAAGAAGGAATTCATCGAAATTCTGAAAACTTTGGAAGCAGAACTTGGAGAAAAGGCTTATTTTGGGGGTGAAAATTTTGGATTTGTTGATGTTGCTTTGATTCCTTTCTACAGCTGGTTTTATGCCTATGAGACTTGTGGCAATTTCAAGATTGAAACAGAGTGTCCAAAGCTTGTGGCCTGGGGAAAAAGGTGCATGAAAAGGGAGAGTGTGGCTAAGTCATTAGCTGATCCAAAGGAGATTTATGAGTTTGTGATTTCCATGAAGAAGAAGTTAGGGATAGAATAAGCTCAACGGATTGATAGCTACCTATATCTTTTGTGGGTTGTGTGTCAAGAGGGAATAAAATGGTAGATTTTGTGTTTATGATGGTGTGGATCAAGGAGCAGGAGTGAATCCTTCTTGTTTACTGCTATTACTGTTCTTGTCCTTCTGGTCTTATGGATGTGCATGGTTTTTGTATGTGTCTGAATAAAGTTTTCTGAACGGAGTATATGAGTTTGCATCTCTCATGGGCAGAGGTTAACACGAATTATGAAAAAATTTATTCACGCTACTGGTTGAGATTTTTTAGGATATTTAGTATTATTATTATTTTTTTTTTGCCAATATAAATAGATTAACAAAGTATCGAACGAAAATTGATCACTGCCTATAGCAAGTGTATGTTAAAATAATCTTTGATAAAATGACATGATAAGATGTTCGAATTTACCAATGCTTATATCAAGTTAAATTCTCCAAATTTGCGAATCCAGATCACTCTGTGAATCAAATAGAGGGGAGTGAGTAAGAAATGTCATATTTCGTCCATTATTACAAAATTCTTTGAAGACGGAATTTCTCAAAAGAAGTATCATTGAAAAAAAGAAGTATCATTACACGAAATGATCAGCAGAATGAATTACTTTTCCACTTATTTTGCACATTGAAATGGCTACAGTTTACATTAGTCGTAACCATATTCCCAAATCAAACAAGCAGTGAAAAACAGAATATACTTCCACTGCTTTGAACCTCCCAAAACAGGAATAAATGCCATTTGGCTTCCCTTTTAATCCAAACCATACTTCTTCCTCCTGGACAAAACAAATTCATAAACTTTCTCAGGTTCAGCAAGAGACTTGCAAACACTATCTCTTTGCATGCATCTTTTAGTCCATTCCATAAGCTTGGGGCACTCTTTCTCTATACTGAAATTCCCACAGGTCTCATATGTAGAAAACCAGCTGTAGAAAGGAATCAAGGAGACATCTACAAATCCAAACATTTCCCCTTCAAAGTAAGGTTTATCTCCAAGCTCCCCCTCTAAGATTTTGAGGACCTCAACAAATTCTTTTTTGGCTGCCTCTTTCTCTTCTCCCTCAGCACCTGCCCAAATTTTCCACCCAATTGGTTGAATCTGTGCAAAAGGGTTGAAAATCGGTTGAACATACAGAAAGCTAAATTAGACAAAAGTGACGGAAAATACAAGCGTAATGAACATTTATTAGAGGTACCTTTTGGTCAATGAAGTGAGCCCAGAACCTGGATTGAGCTCTCTTGAGAGGATCAGATGGCAACATTGGGTTCTTATCATGCCATACTTCATCAATGTATTGAAGGGCTATAGCGGATTCACAAATTGGTTTTCCGTTGTGAATCAAAACTGGGACTTTCTTGTGAACTGGGTTCATTTCAAGAAGCAATTGGCTTTTGTTCCGCAAATCCTCTTCTCTGTATTCATAGTGAAGCCCCTTTTCAGCAAGTGCTATTCTTAGCCTCATGCCAAACATGCTTATGTAAGCATCTAACAAAACCAGCTCCTCGGCCATTCTTGTGCTAATGTTGTTTGTTTTTGAAGAGCTCAAATGATCAGTTATGGAGCAAAGTTGAGGGTAGATTGATACAGGAATACTCAGTAGTATATGAGATGAGATTTGAGAAGCTGATAAAGCTTCTTGGTTGATAGCTAATTATTGGAGTATGTCGTCAGGGCACAAATAGTAAAAATCGCAGTTGGCTTTTATCTTTTCTTTTTGTTTGTTGGGTTAAACTATTAAGGAATAAAATGGCCATACGATTTACTCTTCCGTCCCAAAATTATTGTCTAATTTAGATTTTCATTTTTAGTTCGATTTGTACTAAGATTGAAAATTCAAAGTGGACAATAATATCAGGACGTGGAGAGTACTTGTCCACAGTGGTGAGCACGCAGTATGTAAAGCATATTGCCCAATTACAATCTTGTACCCTAAGCATTTTGATCTTTGATGCTTTTTGACATAATTCTGCGACAGCATCCAACTACCAACGTAACAGGATTGCCTACTGTTTCGTCACTCTTACTTCCACAATGAGTCGAGGAATTTCATTGGAATTTGCTGCGGTGTACCTGGATTTCGCCCTAGCTTCCGAGTTCCTCATGATGATGACAATCCGGCCAGGACGGGTCCTAAACCATTTTGAGGATGACGAAATGGTTCCTCAGAAATGGTTCCTCAAATGATGAATACTAGACAACTAGCTAGGCTGCGTAAATAAACATTAAAGGAGTGAGTTGGAGTTTATCGCCGCGGTTGTCAGTTGGGAAGCAGTGGCCACTAATGTCAATATGTAAAGAGCATCAGTCTATACTCCATAACCAATGGAATGAAAACTATAGTACACGATCAAATAGTAGTATAGTACACAGAAGAAAATGTTACGTTCTTCTTTCAATATGATACAGTTGACTTCTTGTTTACACCAGCTAATCTAAACAGCTACCTTTGTATCTAACTCTGTTCACTAAGAAGATGATGGTTTCCGTACTTCCAGACACTAAGCTACACTTCGGCTCAATGCAAGGCAGATGATGTTTGACCTTCATCCTGCAAAGCAGGTTCAGGTGATACATATGTTGATGGCGGCCCCATCAAGCTTAATACAACCTGTATGGCAGTAAAACTTTCAGCTGTCATGCAAGAAATATTTCAAGAGACTGAATCGTGTCAGACTAAAAGACTAGCCATGTAGAAAACCAATAAAATACACAGGTTCTAATTTATGAACTCTCCAGGTCCATTTGGCTTCAACTTCTGATGATAAGAGGGGTATTCACGAAACTTACGGGTAAAAATACAAGTCCATGTAGAAAACCAATAACCACCAAGGCCAGGTACATTTGGAAGTAGTAAACCTGTTGAGGTAGGAACGACAAAATATTCAGATTAATACAAGCAATGCAACATGGAAAGCCTAAACAATGATATACTCATAAGAGGGATTGAAAACTTATACCACAAAAATCTCCGATCTTGCGAAGAATAGAACAATGACTCCAACCAACTTTGTCAATGTGATTCCACTGAGAAGAAAAGAGAAAATGACACAAATAAATCAAAATATTAACATTGCCATTGAGATAGACACCGTAACCTTGAGAAATGGGACCTAGGAAGGCTTGAGTCTGCTATGTTCAACAAGATTAATTGAAGGTACTGGGAAAAGATAGAGGAGAATAAGATTCCGAGGGAAATCAAACTTGGGATTGGGTCCAGAAACTGTTAAAGATAGCCATCATCCACAACCAAAACTGGACTACACCATAGGAAAAGACAGCTAAAACGCCCTCGACACGGTGAAAACATGAACAATTGATCATTTTTGACCATCTTTAACACAATACTAGATCCCTTAAGAGCCAAAAATCGCATAGCAAAGGAACTTCAGGTTCTGAATATGTATTAGTCTATCTAATGAAAGTTGCTAGTTAACTCTTGTTAATGTTAAAATTCTTAAGTCAGGGGGGCATAATATCATAAGCTTTATATTATCTTTCTAATTTAATCCAACAAATGAATGAACAAAGAAAAAAGAGAAAAACAAAGCACTAACCTAAAAACCGAAGCTCCCATTGTCTGCAAAGCTTTCCTTGCTCGTTGCTTTCTGTCTCCTTCACTTACCTTCAAAAGAAAAAATACAGCATAGGAGATTAAAATTTCAACAAAAGTACTGAATCTCAGGTATACAGCCACTGTGAAGAACATTCACTAAAACAGAAACAGCATAGTACCATGAATGCATGAGATATATGAACACAAAACTCAACAGCAATTCCAATTGACATAATTAGGTTCACCACTGAAACCGCATTCAGCTGGATGTTCAGAACAGCCATTACACCCTGCAGAATTAATCAAAAAAGTCAAAGCTAAGATTCGAAGGTAAATAGTCAACAATCAAGGTAAAATACTTACCATTAGATCCAACAGAATCATGGCTATGACAAGTATAATGATTGCTGAGCTCCATAAGCTGTTTTCAGAGGGACCATGGGAATTTCAGGATACAGCAGTTTGATAGTGCACAATAAGGCATTTTTAAAAGATTTTAGCAAGGAAAAGAACCTGGTTGTGATAACCAAGCACACAATGAATACAGCACCTGTCACGTTTTGTATAAAAAAGATGTACATAAGAGATAGATAAGATTTATAAATTACAACAAAACAACAGGTAAAATAGATAAGGAAATAAATCCATAATTTTAACCTGCAAAATAATGAAACAAATTTAAAGACGATAAGATCCCAAAGGTAGACCACATTCAAGAAATTCTAGGTTACTTGATCTAACTGCTATGGTCTAGACGAAATGGATTTAACTTCTCCAAAATTCAGGTTCCGAGATTGGTACCTACTTACCACCTCTCACTGGGTACTTGACAGTAGAACGGGTGATATCTAACATGAAACGCTATAATACCAATTTGTAATTGCAAAGTCTCAATACAATTCACATTCAACCTTCTTCACACGTGATAGTGAGAGAAGTAATAGAAAAATTCCTTGTATGCAACAAATTTTGCCAAGTCATGTACAAAGTGTAGAGAAGCAATATGCTACTGAAAAGTGTGCCAACGTAAAAAATGGTTGAGTTCTTTTCACGTGCAAAACCTAAACTGTTGAACCCGTCGATATAGTTTCTAGTGCTTATATTCTACTTTCATAAAAAGCGCAAATGAATTAGATCTCGAACTTGTATGAAGGGCACAAGAGTGTGCTCTGAAAATTCACCTAATTTACACACGAGTCGATGGACAAATACACGTATAAGTCAATGGACAAATGAAAGAATTTCATGCCAAGAAAAGAAAAAAAGATTCTGCAAGAGTCAAACTCTAGATAACCTAAGGTTATGTTTACAGAAAATCCAAATATATGTTCATATCTTTTGAAAATTTGTACATATAATGTAAAATTATTATTTCATGGTACAACAGCAATGTGAAGGAGACAGTATGGGATCAAAAATAATGCTAAATTTAAGACACTAGTATTGAAAAACAACTGCAGTAAATTGCAAAAATGCCAATTGAATCAAGAAGCAACTACAGTAACACAACATTTCATTGAATATACAATCATAGTGAATCAGACACGAAAATTGTTACATTCCACACATTCATGACAAGAGATAGGAGGCCTACCAAGTGCTATGGCGATGTTGATTACAGCTGTAGTCCAGATATCCAGATATTGCTCAAAGAAAATGTAGAACACCGAATAGGGAAAGACATCCATCTGTAAAATAAAAGATTTAAGATCCATAGGAAAATATCCACACTAAATAGGTATGCATCCACAAGAATAAATTATTCTAAATTAGAATGATATAGGGAAAACATCAAAACACCAAATAGGGAAAGATATGCAACATAAGAGCAAGCTGTTCAACGACCGAATTAAGTATACAATAATCAACAAGATATGGAGAATGACACCATGAACAAGAACACAGACTATACAAAATTGCACAACAATTCTGGTCATTGCATGAGTGTGCATCTTAAATTAAAAAACCAAGAGGCCACAGTGCGACTCTTACCTTCAGAGAATCAGATATCTTCTCACTGAAATCTCGGGCGGCCTTAACTGCATTAACATAATCACTCTGCCAAAAAAGCCAAAAAATTGCCTTAGGGATGAAATGACTTTTTCATGAAGAACAATAATATTATTCTGCTTACTTGCTTATTGAGGGGTGTATGATAAGTGCGGAACTCTGAAGCTCGGATGACACCACTTTCATAACCTACCAGAAGGCACAAACAAGCTTTTACTATCTAGCAACATCATTAGAGAAACAAACACTTAAGAAATTTAACAATAAGCAATCATATCTTTGGTACAACTTTGGAAATTACTTAATTCACGTATCACCTCAAAAAAAACCATACCATTTAGATCTATGCTGTTAGTGTATGCTCCATGACCACCCTTGGCACAATCAGCTGAAGGCAGTGCACTGAGAAACCATGGCAACTTCTCCTTAAATTGGGCTGTGGATGGACGATCATGAACTAGATCTGAATGGCGAAAGCACTAAAATGCAAAAAACCTAGTCTTAAGCAGCTTTCAACTTCGACTCAACCAAAAATGGGGAAAGAAAAAGCCAATAAAACACTCAATTATCAGAAACAAAATCTTACAGTTGTACATTCTGAGCAAACTCCACCAAGTCCACAGGGACCTTCATCAGCCAAACAACAAGGAGGCTGGAAAAAAGTAACCAAAAAAAATTGTTTCAGAATTTTAAAGATTACCAGTAAAGAAATTGAAAATATCTTAACCAATAAACTGGGCGTAACGTATCTTTGGGTCTAAAACAAGTTCCCTAACACCAGTGATCTTAGATGGAGATCAACTACTAAGATAGAAACAACTCTTTCACCTAATTGAATTCCAATTTCCAACAGAGGAGGACGGCTTACTAGCAATGGTGCTAGAAAATTTCCTGTACTAGAAGAGAGAAGGTTATCTACGCTGCTTAGTTGCTTAGAGAAAGAGCGGCATGGTTTACACAGCCAATCTTTTTCTAAATTTGTACGTCCTTGTAGTTATTCATTAAATAAATTAAAATCAGGTCACAAGCCTCACTAGAGGCATCTTATTGGAAAAAATAAATTAAAATCAGGTCACAAGCCTCACTAGAGACATCTTATTTGAAAGAAAGGAAAAGGGCGATTAATTTGAGATGAAAATGGACAATGTTTAGTAGACTAACACCAGAATAGATCATTATTACCGTGCATGTTCCCCCCACACCCACACCACCCCAACGGGAACAGACAGACACGCAGAGTCAAACACATATAGAAGGAGGGAGAGAACAATATGGTAGAAAGGCAGACAGATCATTGTCAGGATCCAAACCAACTGGTTCCCAAAACAAATATATAAATCCAACAAGGACATATAGCATATGACCTGGTCATCAGGGGGACAATAACTGCCATTTACAAATTTCCTACAACAACCAAAAGCTTCAGGAGATGTCCAAACAAGAAAATCATCAAGCCAAGAGGCCGCTGGCTTAGCAATGTAGCTCACTTCAGGGGTTAAAGAAGCCCTTGAAATCTGACAATACAAAACAGTTCCCAACAGTTAGACGTCAAGAAAATAACATAATGCATTTAACTAAAGAGCCTCACAATCAGCAAAGGGAGGAACTCCTGCTTCAAAAGGACAGGAAAAAACATAGAAGTGACTAACTTTATCAGAACCAAGCAAAATCTCGAAAAGATGGAAAACATAGAAAATAATTCATACCCCAAGAAGATGGCAATACCTAATATTTTGTTTTTTCGTAAATAAGAAAATTAAACTCATTGTCATCATCTAATGAAAACTTGGAAATTACCATGTTAACAATAGAATCAGAAATGGAAGCTGAAGAAATGTACAATCATTTGATAAAATTAGCAGATGGTGCAAAACTGATATGAAGACCCATTCAAAAATGACGAAGTTATCTGTGATTAAGGACATACTACTAGACAACTCAATGACATGGTTATCCAATTAACTTAAATTTAAGCCAAATTACACAAAATGATAAGCTAAACATTTAGCATAACGTAACTTTCTTTCGTCGGGATTAGGAGGCGATATTCATACTATACATTTCGCAAAACAAAGAGCCTACAACCTTAAAGAAATCATAACATTCAAAAGAAGGAACACCATTAAAGCACAGAAACTACCTCATTTAAAAGGGAGTTCACGTCACATTGGCTGATTGAACACAATTGGTTTGTGTGTCTGGACTCCGAGCTGAAAGAATAGGTAATAAATAAGAGATCAAGAGTTAACTGATTTTAATATGTCTCAACAACTGTCAACCAATTAAGAACCGGTCAATCAAAGGAGCTTGAGCTGTCCCTCAAGCTTATTATATGTTATGACCTTGTCATATCAATTGCCTGACAAAGCCATTTGGATGTTCGATTTCCTAAGCTTTCAAATGCTGTTTAACTGTTGACTTTCATGTTCACACACTACACACTCTGACCAACAACAAATGCATCTGACTAGCAAATAAACTAAAAGTAGAAATCCAGAAAGGATATGTGAAGAAACGGCCATCACCGGTTTACCTGTAATTGTAGTCTTTAACAACAAAATATAAAGGTGGTCCAACTCTTAGAAGCTGTGAGAGATCCTTGAAGTAATCCTTCAACAGAAAGAATATTCCAGATGCTCAAGGAAACTAAAAAGAAATACTTGAGAGGCTGATAGATTAAAAAAAGAGAAATTTATACCTGAAGATAAGAATCTCGAGGAAGTGCAATCTGTTGCTCTAAACCTCTTTCAATTCTAAAACAAAGTGCCTGCGAAAAGAAGTAAAAGAATCATTGGCTATAAGAGGAAGTAACGAGATGCTACACAAACGAAAATTGGGTCATGGTAATCACAGAGAACAATTTAAAGACTCACGATACTGGTGAAAGTTACTCCAACGAAAATGGCAACAACCAAAACTTTAGCTATCCACAGGTCAAGAATCCTTGCATGGACCTCCTGCGAAGCACACGTAAAGCTTATTAGTGCTAGGAAGGAAAGAAACTAAGTGACCTAACATCTGCAAGATGAAGTAGAGAATCACAAGCCAGCAATCACTGACTTCAATTAAAAATGTTGAACCAATAATGATGAAAAAGCCTCCTATGTTTTGTATAGAGTGGCTTAGAATTTTTTATTTTATTTTTTTTTATTATTATTTTTTTTGGTGAAGAGTGGCTTAGAATTTTCAATTAGCTCTATTCTAATGTAGAGACTTTATGGTACGCCAGGATAGACTTAACTGAAAAGCGCCTCACGTAAATGCTCGGAGACTAACATCCTGTACTTAAAAAGCTCATCCTTTGATGAACTCTAAATCGCAACTTGGCAGTAAAATAGATCTATAACTATCTTCAGAATTTCATGAAGTAAAAAGTACTATAAAGTGCTATTAAGAAGTAAAATCGTGTTCTCTACGTTCAATTCACTCACTTCGGGAAGGAAAGAGGAGGCCTGGTTTTCTCTGATAAGTTTGGAAGGTCTTCTACAGTAATATCAGCTAAAAGAAGTCACAAGTTCCAAGCTAACAAAGATAACCCAGTACCAAATTAATTCCTGTTATTTAGTCAAACGCACGGGCGGACAACAAGAGTAGCTTACATTTAAATACTAAGTAGGTACATAATCAAAACTCGCCATGATGTTCTGCCAGAGACACTCTTTATTTAGATTCTACATGTATCATCTTCTTAATAGCTTCTCTAATCTTTGAGGGTCTTATGCCTCCCCCTAATTAGGTACGCATCTAAGAATCCACGAGTGGTCCAATTCAAAACCTCAGTGAATGCTTTTAGACATACAAAGGCTATACTTTACCAGAAAACAAGAAAGGATATTAGTTAAAGCTACAAGTTCGTGATTTACACAATTTAGTGTATGCTAGAATGCAATTTAATAGTATAGGTGCTTCTTAATATAACAGGTACCAATTCAAAAAAAAAAAAGAAAAAAAAGAAAAAAAAGATTTGAAAACAACCGTGACCTAACAAAAACTGACGCGTATACTTTACCTTCATATAACGAGTCAGCAATCCATCATTCCTGTAACTGGTACCTAAATGTAACACAGATACTTGAGACAGGTTTAAGATGCAGAAGCGTATAAGTGGAAGATAGACTGCTTTCGGGTTTAGCTGATTAAGAAAAGACGAAGGGCCTTCATGTACCTTGCTCACTGTGTACATGACTTGATGGGATTCTTATGCATGGGAAGCAGTCAACTCTTCCATCCTCAGCTCTTCGTACATCCAGTACGATCAACGCCACAAAAGCCGTAACTTGCAGAAGAAAATCCAAGAGAACAGCTAAAACTGCGTACAACAAGTGTTGAATGTAAATATATTCAGTTCCCAAACTACAAGAAATGAATCGAAGTAGCATATGCAAAGCTTAAACAGAAAGCAACACATATAGCGAGTACTAGGGACCCAAAAAAAAAAAGAAAACCAGAATGACGGTTAGAGTCTCAACATTTGTTAAAAGTGTAGCTTCCTTACAGGCAAACATGGAGAAAACACGGCATGCTGGCATAGAAACAAAACTCCCGACAGCAAAAGCTAGAACTTCAGATAAGCTGGCCAGAGTAATAGAAGGACCAACTTCAACAAGGGCATTACTGATTCGTTCTTCTAAGGGTGAGTCATATGGTTGCCTTTTCACAGCATGCACCAATATACACATATTATCCACCCCAACCTGGATGATAAATTAGTTGACAAGGGAAAGCAAAGGAAGACAGAGATCCAGAAAATCAAATTCAAAAGAAGACACCAACAGAAGCATCTCACTCCCAAACTAGACATTAAACTGTTTGCACTATACCACAGTTGCTTTTCTAGATCAAAGATCTACTGCTTCAGCACATAGCAAAACCATATTTACCACAAACAATAGCTTGATAAATAACTTAGCCTTTATCCAAACGGTCCGACAATATAATCATTTGTTTGCTGTCACACTCCGCCCACACTTATGTTCAGATAAAGTTTATACAAATCATGTCATTTTTAAAAGTTTCTTTCAAAAATGTTTAGTTCTTCCCCTCTCCTTTTAATTTACTTATGAATTTATGGCTTTCACAATTCACATCCGCATATCTGTTACACACATACCCCAAAAATTTTGAGTGAGACTTCTTATTTACTCATCTGTTAGTGCTACCCCGCAACCTTTCATACGCAGTCCTTACTAATCCCTATATAATCTGGTGTGCATCCATCTCAACATTCTGATCTTTGCTACCAGCATTTTTTGTTCATTTTTTATTCTCCGATTTTACATGCGTAAGATCCTTATTAATTCTCCCAGTTTCTTGAACAGATCCTGAATACTTAAGCATTTCCCTGACTATATGAGCAAAACATTAAATCCTAGCGATGCCTCCAAGCTTTTAACTTCGCATTTACCCTTTCTCTTGCCCTATTTCTTAGCACTTTATCATCTGTAAATACTTTCACAGGTAGCTTTTTGTAGATGCTTAGTAACTTCACCAAGATGCACCACATACTATATTCCAATAAACTTTAATTTTTTTTTTTTCCCAAGGATCATATGTAAAATGCTTATAGTCTTATTAAATGTATAGCCTCAATTATATCTTAATATATGAACATAATCAAGCAGATACAATTCAGGAAATCCTATAAGTTCCAGCAAGTGAGATCACTCAAGTGATTTTTGAGCTCCATCTTCAGAGCCGGTTTAGAACATGAAACAAAATTTATTGCAAGCACACGACTGTAGAATTTGTTCTGTGTTCTGATGTTAGACATCATAGATTTGGAATCAAATAATCATAACAAAAACTCATATATATCAGCAGCATCAAACCCATCTATTCAAAGGTCCACAATAATAAATCACATAAGCAAAAACAAAATGTACTTGATAAGTTAGAAACTTACTGCCAGAACGAGAAAAGGAATTACTTCCATTATGATTAATGTTGATTTCACTCCAATAGCACTAAAAAATCCAACAGATCCCAGGACCGAAAGCATTACAAGTACAACCCCTGACAATCCCAACAGTACCTGAAAAATTTGGTGTCTAAAAAGGTCATAGGAGAAGAAAATGCTCCATAGTTCCCCAAAAAAGAAAAAAAAAAAATTAAAATAACCAATCACACAATGAAAAAATAAACTAGGTACGCCAATTCAAAAGAGAAATGAACCATTACTACATGTTTGGTAAAGTTTGTAGGTCAACTAAACAACAATTAGGAATCAGCATCACAGGTTAACTATTAGGCTGTGCATGCCAGTAACAGGTGTAACTTGGAAGCAAGAAATTTATTACGAAATGATTAATTCAAAAGTAATGTATTTCCCAAACATACATATATATATATATATATATATATATATATATATATGCATTACAGATGGAACGTAGCAAAAGGATAATTACAGGAACACAAAAGTCAAGTAATTTAAAGAAATAAGAGTAAAAAGAGTATACCTTTGAAGAAACATAAAGCTTGGAATTCGAGGAAGCATCTCCCAAGGTCAATGATATGTACACGAACATAACAAGATAGCTAACCTGAAGGGAAGAAGGAAGAAGCAACGTTAAGAGTCAGATGCACAAGGCCACGCATAAAAACTCAGTTATCCGGCTTTGACAAATTACATTGTATCCTTAAATTACAGGCAAACAACAAAAATTTCATGAACTCAACCAACGTAAAAAACCAACCAAACTTCCACATCCTTACCAATATTGTTATGACATCAGCTGTACTTTCCCGTTTCAGTTCTTCCTCAATGGAGACCTCAGAGGAGAATGAAAGAGTCAAATTATTAGATCGAACCATCGGCAGCAACTCATCCTGCCAATACAAGTTGTCCATGTCATAAAAGACTAGGAAACCGGAGAAGCCAAAGTAAACTCCTCGGTCGAAGGGACCAGGACAGACTGAAAAATTAGCCTCACACACATTTGGCCAATGAAGCATGAAAGCAAGTAAAGATATTTAATCAGTAAGAATCCTCCCAGAATACCAGACCAATAAGTATGTTTGCTTCATATAGATCCACCAGTTGAGAGATTAGAGTCCAAGTGCCATCGTCATGAATTCCTAGTTGCTCAAAATTTTTTATAATATTTGCTCAAATTTTTTACAAAATTAAAGTTGAATAAATTTGAAAGAGTTGACAAAAACAGTCTATCCTTAACATGAGAACTTAGTGTACTATGCATTTCGTGCAGCACATTTAAGTTAAAAAGATCGAGGAATTTCATCTGAGACAACTACAGTAAACTGAAATGGGAAAAAAAGGTATATTTACTAGGAAAGGTTACAACATCTGCAGAAGCTTTTCTGGTGGATCAACATAAAAATATTAAGTAAAGGAACTACACGCAGGCCATGAGACCTTTCTGTACATTTTAAGAACACTGACTACAAGGAGACAGCGATATTGACAAAAAGGCGTATCTTCGCATACGAAAACTGTCATTCCAAAGAAGCATCTGGAGTAGTGATATCAGGATTAGCTTTTTTTTAGTTACAGATAGCAAAAATGTGAAGACTTTAGCCTAAAAATACTGAAAATAACCAATCAAGTCATTTTGTACTTCCAGTTTCTATATTGAAATCAGACAAGTACATGAATCGTAGAGGACTCATACAATTAACTTAACCAACAAACCCAAAGCTCAGCTCTCCTAAACAAACACCTTAAAATAACAAATTGTCAAAAAATAAACTTGCTGGACAATAAAAAGCATAGTAATAAATTACATAGCTGATGGCAAAGATTTGAGTCAATTCAGCTAACAAGATCAACTTACATCCATTACAAAAATATAATACAGAAAGGTCCAAGAAATCCAAACCTTGGCTAGCTGAATAAAAGCCTTTTCCCAGGCCACTGCCTTTGCATTTTCATTGCCAGCTTCGCTGATTGCATTATTTACTGGATACGTAACAACAAATGCAGATGCCTGAAAGAGATACGATCCATAAGCTTTCGCTACATGACAAGCCTATAAAATTAGGATTATCATTTCGGATGATCAAAACCGTGATGTGAAAACCAAGTTTTTCTCCGTTGATTACAACAGCACGTATTACCTCTGTATAATTATTCTGTGCGAAACCCCCCAGGACAGTACTAGGATCAAGGGGTGCCTTAAAAGCAGTCAAACATGTCTCCGCAGAAGTATAATGCTGAATGTGGAAAAAGACATAGTAAGCAAAAATGAAGTTCAAATGAATTCCGGCAGCCTGGAAGCATAAATAAAATTTCAAATTGCAGACTCAACTATGCCCTAGTATAATGCCTACGACACAGGTGTACTTCATTTTTACTCAGAATGAAAGAGGCAGTAAAGTAAGGGCAGATAAGAATACCGAAATGAAATAAGGGACAGAAGAATGAGTTCTTACAAGTATTATCAATCCTCTGACAGAGAATATATTTTAATGTGGTTAACTATAACACTGTTTCACTCAAACAGATCTAAAAGACACAAAGTTCATTTATGCACACCTGAAAGCAGTACTCAGCATGATCAACTCCTCCATAACTGTCAAAATTGTCAGGATCCATTTTAAAATACTGTAAGAGAAACAATGTTAAAGTCAACTAATGTGAAGAAAAGAGAAACAATCATGGAAAATAACAGCGAGTAGATGTCCATTAATGTAACAATTCAGCCACTTTACAGAAAACATGCACAGTAAGGGGTTCGTTTGGTTTGTGTTTTAGTGTTGGTTTAACCTAGGAAATGTAAAGAGTAACCTTGGAATGTAAGAAGGTGCTTCGAAAATTGCAAAACAAAACTACACACTGAGGATGCTACTTTTTCTGAGGTTTACGTGAAGAGAACTTCAGTAAAAGCTGACGCATTTTTAACTGTCAAAGATGAACATGCAAAATATTCTTTACTACCTTAACTAGCAAGTTGCACGTAAATTTTTGCAAGGCAAATAGCTAAACATACTCCAGACACATTGAGTGCCCAATTTGTTCCAAACATAGAGAACGGAAACCTTGAAAAGTACAGGAAATTTTATTGACTGTTGATATCAGGTGCATTTAGGCTTATATAGTTCGGCGCATCAAGGAAAGATACAGCAGGAAAACAGCAGAAATAGGAGCTCTACTTGGTCTTTTCAAGAAAAATCAGTAGAAACCTGGATAACGCTTTGTGTCGCGCAATCATCACCAAGAGGCTTCAAGCAAATGTCACTCAATCTAACCACAGAGCCCGAAAAGTTTGCATGAAGTTCATCGACCTGTCAGATGACAAACCATGAATCTCCAACAAGCAGATGGTACAGATACTTATAACCATTCTTTTCCCCTTGAAGAAACACTGAGAATACCTTATTTTGGATTTCAAACAACAACTGGAAATTATCTTCAGTTACAATTGTAGGCAATTTTCCATCCTCAGCATCTGGAATGGTAGATATTATAAGCTGAAGAAAAGTCATTAAAAAAAATTAGACAGTTCAATATATATATTACAGTTAAAAAACTTAAGAATCGAAATTTGTTTAATGAAATGCATTTGTTTTATGTATGTGTTTTTATAGAGGATAAGCAAGGAGAGAACTACTGTCGAACAAAATCCTTTTCTAAAGCCTTCGCTAGGGTATGCATTCTAACCATCCTACTCATCTGTTAAACCTCGAGCTAAAGTTATTTAAAAAATCCAAGTACTCATTCAAGACATGTTATATCGATAGCGTCACCATTTACTGAAAACGTAAAGGACATAAATTGCAAATTAAGAAAATTATGAAATTTGGCACAGACAGACCTGTTCAATCCTGTAGAATGGGGCAAGGTGACTGTCAAAAAATTGCTTCTCTTCCGCTGCCTTACTCCCACGACTAACCCAAAGCTGCAAGAAATCTTTCCAGATATTAGAAAAAGAGCAATGATAAAGATAGTGACTAGATATAGTGAAAGAGGATAGTGACTCGTGAAAAGACAAAGCATCATCCCACTCAATTCATAACTATCAATATAAGAGGGACAGTTAAGTAAACACATGCATGCCACGTCAGTCACTATCCCATTTCACTACTTATTTTCACTGTATATATCATTTTCCTTAGAAAAATCATACGAAAACTTCTTCTCCATTAAAAATTCATCAAAAGAGGATTGCCACCAATTTATACACATGACACACCAACAAATGCCTGTTAGGCAGGATAGCTAATTTTCCAGAGTGTTTTTCAAGGCATAGTTAAAAGAGAAGACATGATTCATAAAGTCCAGTAATCATTAGAAGAATACATTGCGCAAAACAGCAATGAATGAATGAACCAACAGGAAGTACATTTTCTACCAACAATATTGAGTCTTTTCTAATACTGTCTGTCGAAGTTTTTTAAGGTCTTCATGTTCCCTTTTGTATTGAGCTAATAGAACAACTAATCTCCATTTTGCTATATAGAATGGATTCTATTAGTTATGTGACAAACATATTCTCATTTAAGTTCCAATGAAACATTCCTAACAACACTTCCTGATTCTTCCCGAGTACCCCTTGCTTTTAATTTGTGCATGTGTTCTTCATGCCTTCTAGGGCATCATAATGGTCTCCTATGTAATGGTCTAAACAACTTTCATTGCGTTTCTTTCCTTTCCTTATCGGAACTAACTTATTCTTATTGTTCAATTATAACCAATCTTAACTTTTTCCTCATTTACCTAAATGCCTTCTAACATGTCCAAACCACCTTTAATTGTTTCTCACAGTTCCTCATTGATTTGGACCACCATCATATTCTTACAAACGCAGTCATTCCTTTACCTAGACTAGCATATCCCAACATCCAATAGAATATTCCCACCCCTAACCACATTCCTGCTAAACTTCAAATCAACTTGTCCAACATTCATTGAGAATGGCAACTGCTATTACCATTTCAGAATAAAATTCTTTTTAATTGTAAGAATGCATAATACTTAACAGCGTGGCATTTGGATGACCTGCCCCAGTTTATAATAATGCAAAACCTAGGAAACGTGACAGCAACAATCGAACAACGGTATAAGATGCTTAAACGTTGAAAATGAAGGGGGGGGAGGAATCTTGGACTCAGAAATGCTAAAAAATGGCTAAAAGCACTAAGGTGATTTAAACAACCTAAACTACCATGGCTATCTGAGCACTGAAAGTTATTGTAGATAAAAGAAAGTTCAGTAAGAACATATCCAAACGAACAAAATCTTTTAAGATTTGGAAAGGAAAAAATAGAATTAGAAGACTACGGGATTGAATAAGATAAGACCACATTCCATACGTGGTAATTTACCTATAAATGTAGGGAAGAAGCAACTGCAATAGTTGGTAGAACAAACAAGGTAGAAAGATGTGATGAGCTGATAAAGAAAGCAGTACTTCTTTAGTTCTTTGTTAACAATACTGTTAACAGAGCACTTAGCTTGCCCATGTAGAGCAATGATGGAAGTGAGGATCTATGATTAACTAACCAAATCTATAGAGATTCTCCGAGTTTTAGTTTTTAAGCATGCAGAACTAAACCTTACAAAAATTTCATTTGAAAAACAAAGCTTTTAATGGGGAAAGGGGGAACAAAAAAAATTTGAGCAATTCATCACCCTCTGTAAAAGATGATCCCCTCTATTATGATAGAGTCAAATAAAATCACCCCCACAAAAAGCAACAAAACATTTTTCTTCTAGCAAAATACACAACTGCAAACTTAAACGACATCAAAATACTGCCAAACTCTTACCATTTCAGGTCGTGTCTCCACCTGAAATTTAATCAAACCCAAACAAAAAATTACAATGACCAACAAGGATGAGAACAACACAAGAGTTGGATTCCTAGCCACCCATGTTCCGTATCTCCTGCAAAGAAAATGATATCACTCAGTTTATAATACCACCATAGTCTAAAGAAGTAATTAGAGGACTACAGAAACGTAGGCGAACCGGAAAAAAGCTGCCATGTTTCCTTGCACAACAGAATGGATCCTTCTTCTCATTAAAGAAATACTTTTCTGAAGACAATAGAGTAACTCCCATCAATCATTAAGCAAACAGTAAACACTATCATGAAGTAATGAAACATCAAACTACGAAGAGATACAAAAACAAACATCTTATTCAATAATTCATGTATGCAATGTAAGTCTGCATACTTATAAATAAACAAATAAGCATGCCATTAAACAAGACCAGAATGATCACTAAGCACAGAACGCCATTAAGGTTTGTTGTATCCTAACTGGTGACAAGCTAACAATTACAAAAAAACAGACACAGAACACTTAGACCTGCTCTTTTAAATGATAAGATATGCCTAAAGGGTGATCAAACTACCAGAATTATCCCCCACAAAATTGAGACAGCAATCTTGCGGCTCCCAGACTATGAGGACAACATATGATATAGAGAAGACCAATTGACCCAATTAATTAGCCTGAAAGACTAAAACGGACTTTGACTCATGTCAAGTCATGATTGATCTTCTAGATTTTAATCCTAACTTGATTTAAAAAGTGAATGTTAACCCAAACTTTCAGGAATCACATCATAGATGACGTGTTACATATAGCTCAGATTTCGCGGGTAGTAGACTATAAACCAAATCCCCTTGATTTAAAAAGTGAATGTTAACCCAACCCTTCAGGAATCACATCATAGATGTAGTGTTACATATAGCTCAGATTTCGCTGGTAGTAGACTATAGTGTTACATATAGCTCAGATTTCGCTGGTAGTAGACTATACACAAAATCCCCTTTTAGATAAATGGCATTTGTTACAGGCAACTCCATAACGGAGACAATTGAGAAGCAAAACATGGTTTCATTATTTAACATAGAAGGTATCTTCTTCACTGAAATGTCTCTTAACCGAACTTGGTTATCGCCCACTAAAGTCTATGACATTTTGTGAATGTAGAGAAGCCCGAAATTGCCCACATTCAGTATAATATGATCAACCTAAGCATGCGAGAAAGATAGTTTTGATTCAAGTGAAAAAGAAGCTCCTCATTCTAAATTACCAGGTTGATATTATGTCTCATACAATCACTACTTGATCATTCCATGCAATGCTATCAGACTTAGACATGCCATATCTACGCTTAGACATGACTAGCATGAAGTTTCCTATTCGTGATTGCTTTCTATTCATTTCCTTTGTAGTTTTTAAGAATATGTTTCGTACAACTATATGACTTACATGGTAACCAAAGCCAGGTCCTTGTATATAAATCATTGGAATCTATGAAAGAAATCATTCATAATTTGTACACATACCTCCGTCTCATCCTTCCTTACAGATCCAGAAATTTTTCCATCTTCGTCAGTATGAGTTAATAAAGCCTCTGCCACGGATCCATTAGGACTCCTTTCTCTTTTTTGATGAAATAATGCCCAGCCAAAAAAAGTAACAACCATGAAGATGTACAGAATGCTTACTGAGAAATCAATACATTTCACCTGCAATCCACCATATCGGTACAAATTAATGAAATTTGGCAAAACAGCAATTCTTACTTCTACAAGAAAACAAATGGGTGGAGAAGATTATTGAAAATAATACACAAGAATAGCATTATAGTACGACATATAGATATCGCAAATAGACAACCTTAAGAGGCCCTATCCTAAGAAAGCAGGAATGCCTCTTGTCTGGAGAAGGAGGTTCTGTGTCTGAGCATGCCAAAGAGGAAGGACAATCACCACAAGAGCATCCCAAAGACGTGTCCCCACAAGAATAAACAGACACATTCATGAGCTTCATCGGAGATGAATCCGGGATTTTCAAAGTGAAGTTCATGGCATAAGGTGAGCCAGGGAAACCAAGTTCAGCTCGCTGGCCAATAAAGTCAAACCATTCTGGTAAAATAGCAGGAACCGAAGGTATTTATTAGTAGAAGCACACAGCCCGAATAAAAGAAGAAAATTAAAAAGCTACCTTGGCATGATTATTCTCCTTTGGTTTACTTGTCAACAAATTAAGATAAAATTTACTCGGGTTTTGTTTAGCTCTAAATATAAGCTTCCATCATTTCCCAGTTGACATAATAATAAGTCAGATATACACATATAGTTCTGTGTGAATGTAATAGAATTAAGATCATCCACCTCTACCATAACTCTTCAGCTTTAACCACAATCACTGAATCCTCTCTTCATTAATATCATTCCCACAATTAAAAGCACGTTTTCCAACCTTAGAAAAATATTATTTTAATAAAGATTAATAATTTATAGAGGATTAATTTAGGAAGATTCTACTGTATTAAATAGTATTCTGAAAGTTAATAATCATTAACTAATCTAAGTATCATTTTCCTTTCCTTGCTTCCAACTTAATCTAATTGGATTCCAGGTAGGCATTCAAATCGCCCCTCTGCACCATCATATTTTTATGCCCTCTATATGTAGAGTATCTTCCGTGGAAGTGGATTCTTTTGAGCTGATAGATATAGTGTTCATAGATTATGCTGTTTATTAAAGAACATTTTGAACATCTTATACTAAGTCAGAACGGCTTCCAGAATTTCCTGCAGCTATTTAGGGCATAACTGACATATCTCTCAAATTACAAGGTCAAGATACATCAAATGCACATTAAAATGAGACTGATCATTTAGATTTTACATAATGGTTCTTTTTTAATGTTAATTTCTCCCACACAAGAACAGAAATTAGTGCTTATTTTTAACATTAAAAAATACGGTTTCTTTTACAAACAGTTGTAAGTCATAGCATAGTAAAGCATGTAATATTCAGAAGCTCTATAACAACTATTCTGAAATCCAAAGTGCTTTACTTAAAGCTTGACATCTGCAGAAGTTTGAAGCCATTGTTTAAGAGAAGTTAACTTTTTTCCTTAGCACAGTTCTGACCTTAAGTAGAAAATACACTTGCTGCAGATGAAGCCCCTCTGACATATTATCTTGTGCCTATTAAAGTGTATTTGGCAAGTAGACCTGCCCTCAGGCAAGAGTTGAGGAAAAACTTCAACATGACCCTCCCAACACACCCATATCCTACCTTTATATAAATGGATGGAGTTTCAGGGATGTAGAACTATATGTGTTCACACAAGTCAGTAGACTAATTCCTTGTGTGCCCTATTAAGGTTGAAGCTAATGCTTCAAATTTTACCAACGACGTGTTTGCAGAATTTTTTTCCGTATCATTTTATAGTTCTCAACCCATTTTCATGACTTACAAACAAGTACTGGACTTTATCTAATTGGACCTTATTTTTTTATAACAGCAACATAAAGCTTTGCTTTTCTAATGAAAACAATGTCATGATTAACTAAGATAAGAAAAGATAGTGATGATAAATAACCTCTAAAGTTTTGAGCGCCAGCACCAATGAACGCCATGGCCCTGGTGTTCATAGTCCCAAACTTGACATCTTTGCAGGAATCATACAGTCCTTCACCAAAACTTTCGGATATAAAATAGTCAATGCTATCTACAGTCAGTTGACCATTGACCTAAAGGCGAAAAAACAACAATTCAGTAATTAAAAGGTCTGTAATAGATACTAACTGCCCAAATTTCAAAAGACAAAGCATTGTGCAACTATCTATAAGGATATACAATAAAGGAAATAAAAGCGGGTTAAAAATGTTGCTTGAAATTGATAACAAAGATAACTATGTATGAAAGTAGCTACTATGAAGCTAAAGAATACACCCAGTGCTAACTGTGAGAGACAGCATCAAATTAGGAGAAACTAGAAGTACAGGTGATATGTCAGCTCGATCTAAAATGGAGTCCATTAAAGCAGGTTTTTGGAATTTGAAAGCAAACAATTCCAAGGAAGCTGAATTAACCGAAAACTAACCCCAAAACATTGAAAACCACTTGAAATCAAAGAAATAGAAAGTGAAAAATGCTATGATCACAGTACTTAAAATTGCATCTTCAGTTAACACACTATCCAAAACTGATTAGATTGAGCACTACGTTGTCCTTATTATATATCAACTAAAAGTGAGTAAATCTTATAACTACAATGAAATAAGCCTCACCTCAGCTGTCGATGTCACATTGATGAATAAACTTTGGTCTGGAGAGCAAGACAACTCACAGAAAAGATTCAAGAAATTCCTCAAGCATGCAGGACACCCCACAAGGAACGGGATAGCCTACATCAAAGTTATTATAGTTAATGTTCTTCAATGAAGTAAATGGCAACAGGAATCCCTAAATTCAACAGTAGGATAGGGCTAACGATGAAACTGCCATCCACAACCGGAAAAAAGAAAAAAGAAAAAGAAAAAGAATCTATATTTGCAAAGAATAAGAAAAAAGAAACCTTACTTGTTGAACTTGTTGCCTCAAAGTGTCAAACTGAGCCTCAGTACAACAAACATTTCCACTTAATCTAGGGCATAAACTCTGAATTTTTGCAGAAAACAAATCATCTGGCTGCAAAATAAAATTGAAAGCATGATTAACTTTGACACCTCATGCTAGATATCATTCAGAAAAATACTCAGGTAACAATTGCAGATTATAAAAGTAAAGGCTCATTTTATTGCAAATGTATTAAAGGAATATAGATACCTTCACTGCAGGGATAGCATAAGGGCAATTTAAAACTTTCCCATCTTCACGCTCTCCACAGATACCATACATGGAGCAGTACTGCTTCGAATGTCTTTCCCTGTCAAGGAACCAATTGAATAGATAAGCAGCCAATTTTCAAGGGACAGAAAGCAGAGATATTCTCAAGCATATTTACGAGTTGCGAGTTTTGCGTGTGAATAAAATAAAAACCATAAGATGGCAATTTTTCCGTTACTAGAAACTTCACCTCCGTCATAGTATGCAAGAAGGCCAAATCACGAGCTAACTAGTAGCTAGTCATCTTAACTTAAATGTAAGACCAACATCTGTTACATCCTATGTACTGCAATTCTGTTGGATGATATTTTTATACATCGTGAAATTCATGATCTCTTTTTTGTAAACAGTTACTCCAGAATACAATCTCATAAATAAAACCATGTACGCGATGAGCTACTTATTGCTAGATTCAGGAGATATCAAAGACTGCTGCATTAAAATTGAATTTTCACATTTCTAGAGCATCATTAATAAATCTTTATTGCTGTCAATCTACTCGGATGAGTGACAAATTGCAAAAGAACTATACAAATTTTTTCCTATATAATGCATAACAAGTAACAGCGCGGAAAAAGCTTTATGATAAGAATAATGAAGCAGAATTCATGTCCAAAAGGAAAAGTAGTGAATAATCCACAAATGAGTTCTATTTTTTCCATTGTTTACTTTCTTAGCTTCCAGAAATGACAAATGGAAAGGTTTCAACGGCGCACAAATGATTAAAAAATCACACTTCATGTTTACAACGCCCAAATACACAATCAAAGGCAAAAAATTAACAGTGATCATGAGTCAATTGTGCAAAAGGAACCATCCCAGTTCAATTGTACACATAAATATGCTTACGCAATCGTTGAATTGGATTTCAAACGAATGACCTCTGAATTTTTTGAACTCGCTAACGCAGCAACCACCTGAATGGAAGAAAAAAAACACACACACAAAAAGAAGGAAAAAGTTAGCAACAAACAACTAGAGCCAATATCCATGAACAAAAATGAAAATAAGGGGGGAAAAAGAAATTCTTACTGGAAATGTGAAATGGATGAAGACCAAAGCAGTAGCTAAAACAGCCATGGAGAATAATAAATTTGCCATGGCTGATGACAATTTCCCAGAGTTAGGTATTTGAAAACAGAATGAACGAAACAGAAGAACACTTTAAGAAATTTGATTTGGATTAAATTGATGAAATTTTATCAGTGAATGTTTCGGAGTGTTCTATTGTAGCAGGATACTGAATAGAGAAGAAAAAAAGAGCGAAAATCAAAGAAATTTTGATGGCGATAGTTTAGGAGGAAATTCATGGAAGCTTCGTATATCAATTACTCTTTTTTTTTGTTCCTTTCTTCTTTTTGAAGTATCCTATATGAATACTTTTTTGTCTTGACATTGTTTTTGTTATTATTTGAACTAACAAGGAAATAGAAATGCATGCCCTAAGGATAGATGCTAGTCACTTTGGGCCAGTACTCCTCCCAGTTCGAATTATAATGCAAAAATTTAAATTAATTTTAGTGTTAAGTTTAGTGTTATTAGGACGAGATGAAGTATCATACTTTTTAGTAAGTAAATGATAAATATACAAGTACACCCGTGCATTACATGAATTGTGAAAATTTTCCGGCATAATTAGTGTGAAGCAGTAATATATCGAATGATAAAGGAGTTAATCATATTAAATCTTGATGTTTAAATGTATTTTAATTATTATAAATAGAATAATAAGAATTTACTTTACTTTGAAAAAAAAAATTAACAAATGACAGGGATATATTAAAAGAATATCATGCAGGTATGATATAGATTTTATTTGGTATAAAGTTTTGACAAGATAATAAATAAGTTTTACAATAGTTGCAATGAGTTTCTTAATAAACTCCATATAAAATAACTTAATTTTTTTTCTGGACCTCTTTATTTTTAAATTGTCTTATATTTTGTTAATTTATTATTTTTCTTTCTCACTGCTCACTACTAAAATCAATATCAACAATAAATTTTCATTCATTGAAATTCAGACAGAAGAAAATGATTATAGGGGTGATTCGTTACATACAGTGGCGGAGAATAATGAGTCCACACACAAAGAAGGTGATTCAGAAGAAGGTGTTTCAGATGAAAATTTAGTTGTAATTGGAACGGTGGGCACTCTAAAACAAGTAGATGCAAAGCGGAAAATTATGGAAGAAAATTTGGTACAATTTAACAAAATCCGTGCTCAAGTTCGGAATGGTGAAGTTCCAAAACTTATCTCTGCTCGCAAACAAAAGAAGAATCTCAATTTCAATGAATCCGAAAGTTCGTCGCTCAGAAAGAGTTAATTTTGTTTGAAATTTTTAAGTTTTTAGTTGTATTGTAAAAGGTAGTAAGTCTTATGCATTGCTACTTTCCTTTGTTTGCATTTTAATAAAAAGGGTACTATACTCGCTAAGCATTGTCTGTTTTAAAAAAAAAAAATAGGGGTGATTCGTTACATCATTCCTTCCTGCAAAACCAAATAAATAATCCGACTGATATCATACCAAAAAAAAAAAGCACAAGCAGTAATGACCAATTTGTGATTAGCAAAATAAGAGCAAAAAAGATAATACACAACCAGGTAAATACATTTAAAAATGCATATGACTAATTGATTGATTGAAGTATTCCTGCGGCATAAAAGTACTAAAGTGATCCACTTTAAAGACTCAAAAGGTATGCTAGAGAAGAAGAAAAGTTTACCAAAAGAATTATGCAAAAAAATAACACAATAAATTTAAAATAATAATAATAGGCATGATTTAAATAGCTCTGATGATAACTCAGTATGTAAGATTTGGAAGGTGTAGAAAGTAGTTTTAGTTGTAGTTTGGTTCCTTTTTTAGGAAGATTGTTTATTTATTAATTATTTTTTTGTTATGATTTATTTGAAATATAAATTAACTTACAAGATATGTTCAATTAATGTTTCCGGTTTGTTATCGCAGATACGGGTTAAATAATTTAGTTATATCTTATTTTGATTTTTTCATACACTAATAAGATAAGATTAATGATATGATCACATTCCATAATTTGTTTATAGATGTGGACATTTTATATGTTATAATTTATGCAAAAACCAAATTTCCTATGAAAATCTTAAGATACTTTATGTCTAGTAAAGATTTTTTTAAACCTAGCTTATTAGATGCAATCTTCAATTTTCTTGTAAAATATTTTATAATCACCACAATAAGAAGTGGAGACATGAGATCCCACTGCCTTAATCCACATTGTCCTTACAAGAAGGCAACATTAGCACCATTCAAATCAGGAGTAAAACAAGTTGTTCTACACATTTCATAATCCATTTGCTAAATCTCTCAGGGAAATCGTAGCCATCTTGTTTCTCCTCAACAAATTTCTATTCAACAAAATCATACATCTTCATATCAATCTTCACCATACACCTGCCACTGGTTCTCTTTCTTCTATACTTGTTAACAAGCTCTTTGGTTAACTAATATGTTGCGGAGGATCAATTGATATGACAAAATCTTTTGGTATTTGTCTACTACTGCTGTTAAAATTCTTTTCAGTCTATTACAGTTAATTTATGGGATACACTTATATAAAACATTATAACAAGCAATCGAGCGACACTGAATAGAGTTTTATCATTCTTTGAAATAAGTTATAAAGTGTTGGAGTTAAGTTGTTTTAGTATCTGACTTAAATTGAAGAATTCAAGGACAATTAATGATGTACGTGTTGTAAGTATAGATATTAGTAAAAGTAAATTGATTTTAACCGTATGGTATATATAGACACTTAATTATCTAAAAGTCTCATAAGTAGGGCCTCCATCCTCACTTAATACCTCAAGTCCAAAAATTCTCATGTGCCCCTGTAAGTTGATGTTTGTCATTTTTCTGCTTTTCCATCCAATGAACGCTAAAACTGTAACGGTCAACAGATCAATTGTTGAATTGTTGAAAGGGTATTCTTTTTTTTTACCAAAAAATTAGCTAATTTGTGCACCACGCTTTGGGCGGTGTAATTGATATCTTGCCCAATTTCAATGAATGTGTAAAAGTTGAATATGCAACAAACCCAAGTAAAAATATATGAATTAGTTGTATCAGCATAGAACTAAATCATATAGTATAGACCTAAATTCTATAAATTATGAATTCAAGAAAAGTTTGATTAATTGAGTACCTACTATAGATAATGAAATAATACATTGTGAAATAAGGAAAACAATTAATTAATTGGTGATGAAGCACAATCCCACAGTACCTCTGTTAGATGATATAACTACCTGCAAAAAAGAATCCCGGGGAGTTCCTGGGAGTAGAACTCTGAAGCTTAAGTTAGCTTCTTGTTTGAGAAGTGAATATAGAGTTTAAGTGATTTTTTTTTGTTCCCTTTGATATATAAGTACCTCATCTATTTATAGGCAATGCAATGACAACTTGTTGGTAGCAACTTACTGAATCATATCTCTTTGGAAGATCCCTAAATAGATGAGAGATTTGATTATCACAATCAGTTTGTTGCAGACTTAGTTGGGAGAAGTCAAAACTTTATCCACTCTCCAACTTCTTTGTGATATGAGTAAGAGAATAAGTCAACCACTTCGTTCTTTTTGTAACTGACATCGTCATTTGCCCCCAATTAAAGTCTTGGATAATTTTTAAGCCCAGACTTATAATTATATCACTCAATACTTCTTGCCGGTTTACACGTTAAGTGTGTACCTTTTCAGCTTTTTGTTCAAATTTATTGACCTGAGGAGATTTTCGTTGTTTAAGCTCGGGTTTGAACTTGAAGCGCAATTCCCCCAGCGATTTTTCAAGGAAATATATTGTATTTAGCAATTTTCATAGTAGTATGGCTTTTCAGCTTTACTGAGCCGAATTTATCGACTTACAAAATACACTCGCCAGAGGCACAACCGAACTTATCAATTTTGCATAGACATTATAATAGTGGTATGACTTTTCAGCTATTCCGAGCCGAAATGATCGACTTAATAAGATTTGATTAATCCAAATCTAACAGCAGTTATAATATAACTGAGCCAGACATGTCTGACTTTAACAAATTTTATAAATGTATTTGACTGGGGCTTCTGCCGTTTCTAGACTATTGAACCACGATTATTGAATTTATAGCATTTTTGTTGGACCAATTTTGTCCACTAGTTTCGTGGGCAAACTATCTCCGGCTTTTGTGTTTTAACCACAAAAAATTAATTAGATCAATAAAGTTTCCTTCCAAATTGAGTACACTTCTCACGTGATTCCAGTTGATACCCCTCAGTAGTATGAACATACACTGCAACTCATCTCTTCTTTTTTGGTTCCATTTTTTTCCCCCAGTTTTTAGCCGACACAACATGGGGTAAGAGTTTAGCATTTTTATTTTTTAGAAGGTTTTTTTATCAGTATATCTTCATTTCTTTTCTCCCCTTTAGTTGCTTTCACTTACGATTTCTTCTTGCTTCCAGCGATACCGTTTGAGGATTTGCAAATCTCAATACTTCCCAGGTCTCAATAGAGGGAAATATCTGCTTCAACTCTCTTTCATGAACTCTCCCACTTTTTCATATTGCACGGCAAATCTTGCAGCGATTGAAGAATCTTCAATTGATTTAAATTCTTCGAAACTCTTTTAATCAATTTTTTTTTTACGCTAGCTTGATTTCACCTTATTTGCGCATTCTTCAAAGGCTTCAATGGTTTGTTGATGGTTGTAATCCAAATCTTCCTTCTATATGGAATGGAGTGTTGTGCTCTTTCTTTGCTAGGGGCCGATTACTATCATCAACTTCTACTTTAACTTGCATAGACTTCATGTTATTTTGCGTCTGTAAATTTTTAATACCTTCGCATGCTTGACAATTTCTCCTTTTAGAGGACGCATTCTACTGTTTGGATCCTTCTTTTGGAACTACCAAAACTTTGTTACGGCCGACCAATGCTACTCTTGGAGCCATTATAGAGCTCTCATCAAGATTTGAAACTTCTCCAAAGCTCTTCAGTTAATGATGTCAAATCTTTTGAAGCCCGCATCAAGTCATCTAGCTTTTTGGCTCAAAATTTGTTAATATGTCATCAAAAGACAAC